ACTGCTGATAGGAGTGGGGCTGGTGTGAGACATCTACTAACCTCTCTTAACAGCTAGAGGAGAGGAGGTGGACATTATTGTTTTTACAGTTGTTGTACTTACAGGTATAAAAATCTCTTATCTCTACTCCTGGTAGGAGCTTTCTAACTCTATCCATCACCTATACACATGTAATCAGTACATTATCATTATTTATAAAAGAAATATATTATTTATGCATGAATGCTAGATTAGAATCATACAATAGAGCCTTATAATTATAACAGACAGCACTTTGGGAGAAAATTTTTTGAAAATACATAGGTAATTAGCAACAAACATCCCTGTAGTTTGGCTGTAGAAGCCAATATTTCAATACTAGCATTTAGACTTACTGTTGATGATCTGACAGAGGCTGCATTCTCGTTCCACACTTGGAACTGAGTCTCTTGATCTCGTCCTTTAACGCTCACACCCACCACATCATCATCTAATAACAACAACAACAACAAGCCATAATTCTCAAAGTTTATGATTCATTGACAGTTCTCCTTTCACTCTCATTATGTAATTGTATAACTACACTTTTATTTTAGTGACTGTTTTATGTACTTGCACTAACCATCAGCTGTGCAATCAGCAAACTGTTCCCCAATTGCTGCCAGCAATAATTCTTGCCAAACATTATTCTATTGAGAGAGGAATGGTGTGTGATTACATAGATGTACATGATGACATTGGATCATTTGGATGACCACTTATAGTGCATCCCTAGCTATAATGTATAGTGTATAGTACTATATTCTACAAATGGGGATTCCCTTGCAATAATAGACTACACTACAGTATGTCTTACTGTGTCTTCCTTCTTGCATTTGAAAGTCCAAGTGCCACCATTGATATTACTAACATCTTCCCTGAATGGAAAATATTATGACTCTCTCTCTCTCTCTCTCTCTCTCTCTCTCTCTCTCTCTCTCTCTCTCTCTCTCTCTCTATTCTTCTTTCTTTCTTTCTCTCTTACCACATCTGTCTCCTGTTCTCGTGTCTCATTACATGATAGCATTCTCTCATGAACAGCTGGTTGGCAGGTTTGATGTTGTTGTAAACACTAAAAAATTCCTAAACAAAAGCATGTTATCTAACAACATGTACAGCATGCATAGAGGAACATGTGCACAGTCAAAACCTGCCTACCTTGAGACCTAACAATACTGTCCTAATTATGGAACTTAACATACATTTATATTTCATTGGGGCTGCACTACATGTACCTGTCCTAATTATAGATGTGTCCACAATAGCAGGTTCGACTGTGCCTGTACATGCATATGTAAAGCCCATACTTTGATTGATCGGACTGTGTAAATTACACGTAGACCTTCAGAGAAGTTCTTTGGATCAGCTGCAGCTCCTCCGTATGAGAACTGTGATTGATTGGTTGTCCTATTGTGTCATTGAATACTTAAAACATTAAGTATAATAGCACTTTGCATATTTTACATGTATGTTTATTATGGGAGGTGACAAGTGACAACTACATGTATAATTTATTGATATTTAAGTACTTTCTATTGTACAAAAATTAATTGAATTATCAGTACCTTTGAAACCAGAACGTCCATGGTGTCGTTAGAGGTGGGTCATCAGCCTCCCAGCCCTTCTCTTGTCTTTTCTGATCTGCACTCTCGAGCTCTTCCAGAGTTTTCCTCGAGAGACGCGGCGAAGCTGCTCTTTTCCTTCTCTCCTCTTCGTCCTCCATAGCCGAGAGTCTATCTGAGGGTATGGGGGATTCGTGTCTTGACCCTACGACTGGGCGCTGGAGCGAAGGATGAATGTTTACGTCCTCCTTGGACTCCGCCATTTTGTGGTCAAGTAAACCACTCCTGTCAAACAAAGAATTTAACCTCCACGCCTACTTTATTGACCACGCCCATATTGAACATTGAAAGAGAGGAAGAACATGAATTTCATTCTAATTCTTGTCTTACTGATAGAACTTGGTAAGAAATGATACTAGTATTATATCTATGTATAGTATATTCACTTATAGTCACAGATTTATAAAATTGTGTTTTTTCAGGTTTTTCTAATGATTTGTTTACTGATGAATGGGCACCTTCTTCATCGATTTCTGACATTGATTTCGACTCTTCCTCCACTCTTGATAGCATTACAATAACCAATCATGTGACCACTACTGATATTGAGCCATCGAGTCATGTGACCGATACCGAAAGTCACATGACAAGCTGCCTACCTACTTCAAGTGATGCTACTAATACATCTAAAACCTCTAAGAGTATTAGAACTGCTGCTTCAGTATCAGAGGGAGTATCCACAGTACACAGTCGATCTTCACATTCTATTCCTCCCAGTGGTACGCCCACGTCTCCAACTTTATCACTGGAGTCTAGATTAGTCCTGTATATCACCATACCTCCATTGGTCCTACTAGTCATTGTTGTCATTATTGCTTCCTTGATACTCTGTTACAGAAGATATAGAAAGTAAGCATTACTATTGTTATTAATGCCACTAGTATTTTTAGTTTTAATTGATAGAGTCTTAATACATGTATTAATATAATTATATTTATTTTGCTATTTTTTTTATTTCTGCCTCAGAATGAAGAACATCAGACTCCATTTAATGCCCCTGCACAATCTTGATGGGAGTGATGATGAATATGAAGAGGATGAAGACGAAGACGTGGAGGATGCATTGGACAACGAACCATCATTCACTGTGAGCCAGTACATATACTGTACAATCACTCAATGGGTTATTTGCCTAAGGGACTAAAGGGGTCCTTACTTTCAATGTCAGGATTCTTTTTGCCAATTTCTGAATAATATACCATGGACTATAATAGTCCATGATTTTTTCAAAAAAATGGCTTTTAATTTTTTAATCACCCCCTCCCTTTGTATTACATTTTTGATACATATTGATATCCTTATGCTATGTAGAAAGTTTGATCTGTATCTGACAAATATTTTTACGGTCATTAGAAATTTGCTAATTTTTGGAAAAAGCAAAGGCTGTAGCCCATGCTTTTTCCAAAAAATGGCTCCGAAATTGCCTCAAATTTTTATTACATTTTCTGATGCATATTGATGTCCTTATGCTTGTAGAAAGTTTGAGCTGATTCTAGCTACAACTTTCTGAGTTATCACAAAAAGTAGCAAATTGTTGAAAAAGCAGACTATAGTCTCCTTTTTTCAAAATATAGGCTCTGAAAATCACCTCTAATTTTTGTTACACTTTTTAGATTTCATCTGATTCAAGGCAACCAATACTTCAGTTTTCTGACATGAATTGAAGAAAAATCAACATTTAAAAATCACATCCACAATAATAATTATTATTATCGTTGCTGTATTATTTGTAGCTATAGTTAATATCGTAGAGACTACAGTGTGAATACAGGTCTTAATGTGTGCGTGTGTGTTATTATAAATTTTTTATTTCTTATTGGCTGGTGTCCGTATTATTGATTTATTCATTAATTTAATTATTATCTCAGTATAACACAGTACACCTCAGTATACTAGCTATAACAACAAATCAAAGACAATGAGTGTTTCTATGCAACAGTGTAGAAGCTGTTATAGTCTAATCTTGTGATCATGTGGCTCCAGGCTCTCTCTGATTCAACCTTTGACATTTCATTGAGTATACTTAACAGAGACGAGAGATCACGAGTGAAATTTCTCTCATACTTTGCAACCTCTGGAAGGACATCGTTAGATATTGCATTAGAAGATAACTCCTAACAAAGGGAGATGTAGGATAAAGAATATAGATGGCCCAATATAATTATTACTTATGCAGGATTTAGTTTATACAGTAATAACAGTATGCAGTATGTTGCATGAAATTGGAGGCATTTCTATGTCCATTGACTCCTGTATAAACTGTGTAATGGATTCAACAAGTGCTGCATGTATGTACATGTAAGATGTGCATACCTGCATGAAGTTTCCATAAGTGAGAGAGCACTGCAGTAAGTGATTGGTGAGCTCAACAACCTCTCTATTTGTTAGGAGACAATCTTTAAGACAGCGATCAAGGAAATCTAAAAAAGGAAAAGTAGTAGAAAGTGTTATAATTTCAATACAATTAAGCAAGCTCTTGAATTAAATGTAAGTACAGCACTTATATTCCGTGGATACAATTTTTCTACTAGGCATTCGTGGATACAAAAGTTGCAAAAATTAACGACTTAAATTTACATGTAACTTCACAAATTTGAACCATCCACAAAATCAGCAAAATTTATTATCCAAAAATGCAATGTCTGAATTGCAGTTGGACATTGGACATTTTCTGACCATCTTTCTCAATTGTCTGACCAAATTCTGTGTTAATCTACCATTTTGTCCAAACAACAAAATTTTCAAAATAATTTATACATGGTAAATTTTAATCAAGCAATTCAACATAATAACCAATTTATCATGTCCAACTGCAGGGTACCTACAAAGCATGCTAAGTGAACTACGTGTAAATACCAGTAGCATGAGCTCCATGAGCTGACATGCACTACAAAACCCAAATTGGATCAGAATCAGCTCAAAGTTGATACACAACATAAGAACATGTATATGTATCACAAAATTTATTAAAATGGAAGATTCTCACTTAGCCATTTTTGACAAAATCTGGCCAATGACCCTGTACTATAGTACAGGAACTTTGGCCCAATTCTTGAGTAAATTAAAAAATTTATAAAAAATCCAAACCTAATCGGAATTCAATTAAACTTTTAAAAAACACAACATGTACATGTATATGTATTTTTAAAAATTTTGAAAATGTAGAATTCTATTCTAGCCATTTTTGACAAAATTTGGCCAAAAATTCTGTACAGGGGCTTTGATCTGATTTTTGTGTAACTTTAAAAATTCATAAAAAATCCAAACTTGATCGTAATAAGTTCAAACTTGATATGCTACATAAGGGCATGTATATGCATCAGAAAAAATTATAAAAATGGAAAATTCTCTCCTAGCCATTTTTGACAAAATTTAGCCAAAAAGCAAAGGCTATAGCCTTTGGTCGTTGGCTCAATTTTTGAGCAATTTCAAAAATATATAAAAAATTTAAGCTTGATCGGATTTAGCTCTAACTTTCTATACAACATAAGAACATGTATATGTATCAGAAAAAATTATAAAAATGAAGAATTCTCTCCTTGTAATTTTTGTCAAAATACCCTGTACTACAGTGCTGTGTCTTAGGCCCTTTTTTGAGTAACTCAACAATTTATCTACTAACAAGAAGCTGCATGAGCATTATACCACAATCATGTGGGAAACTCTGTACAATTTTTTAAATAAAAATGACTGATCAAATTAAGGCAGTGTTCATGCAGACACAATGTCTGAACATTGTGTGAATGTAATTTCAGGCTTTGTATTACAATTAAGTGATTGTACATGTACATGTACATATAAGGGGCCATGACTTGATCTCTACTCTATGGCAATAACTTATACTTACATGTATGCACCTATCACTGGACCCACATCCCATTGAATATAATACATATAATATGCATGTGGATAACTGATATATGTACTTACCAGTATGAAGGGCTAATACTTCATCAATAGTGACAACACGGGCTAGTTTACTCTCCAAGTGACGGCAGTTTGGCTCCAGCACCTCATAGCACATGTAATACTGTAACCCTTGGACAAAATTGAGCATTCTTTGGAGAAGAGCGAATGATGCCACACCACTATTATAAAATAATAATATTGATAATAATAGTAATAATAATAATAATAATAATCTTGTTGTTACTGTTGAGTTTTTTGTTTGTTTTTTGTGTCTTTCTGCCACCATTTTATTTATAATAATAATAATAATAATAATAATAATAATAATAATAATAATAATAATAACTATAGACGAATGTAAAAAAATGTATTGCAAAAGGACATTCCACTTACCCGGGTGTAATGGCTGTTGGTGATCTCTGCTTATTCTTGTTATCTTTCCAAGCCAGTGTCAGCTCTCTCTCCACATACTTGCAGAAGAAAAGGTGCCTAAACAGTAACTGATAGCGAGTGATGGAGCGACGATTGAGTACAAGAGAGAGCGGCCATTTTACCTCATAGTCTAAACTAACACACTCGTAACCTATTGTAGAAAGATAAAGATAAAGTTAACATGATACTGATAAGTAATTTGGGACTGGAACTGACAATAGGTACCATTTGGCGGTTAATTAAAATGAATAAATGTCAACTTGCACATGTCCAGCTGAAATTATCATTTTGAATAAAGCGCAAAAAGCTTTTTGTAATTTTTACAAACAGTACTTTTCAAAAAAAAAAACACTTGCAAGTTGAAACTTTTTCACTTTAAAGATGAATTTAATTAACGACCAAATATTACCCTAATTTTGTCAGTTCTAGTCACATTTATTAATATTCCCTTGATTTATATTCTAATGCAAAACTAATGCAATATTAATCACTCACCTGGTAGAGCAGTAGAAGAAGGTGGGCGTGTCACAAGAGGTGGGGATATCCCATGCTCAACCTGTTCTGGCTGTACTGATATAACATGACGCAAAAACATTTTCAAGTTATACGGCTCGAGCTTGATACTGAGATTATCTTTGTAAGGATCAGAGTTAGCAATGCTTGTCCTAAGAGCTAACTCCATGAGGGACTCAAGCCGAGAGAGAGGTATCATACTGACGGGTTTCTGCAACTCGTCCTCTGCAATGTCCATGAAATGAACGAAAAGGTCACCTTGATCAATGAGGAAGTAATGCTTAATGGAGGTCAGGTGTTGTAGCAAGTGATTGTCAGTTATTAGTAGCTTGAGGACTTGAGAGCTAGCCCGACCATAAGCAACTCCAATACGCTCTATGTAATACCTCTCATTAGGATTGTACTCTAACTGGGCAGGGGGTTCAGATGAGGGGAGGTTGGCAAGAGACTCGATGTCTTGGCCACAGGTACGAACAACGTTTAAGTATTTCCCGGTTTGAAGTATCTTTTCGGCTACAACTTCGAGAAAGACAGGGAGGTTTTCTTGCGAAGCCGTATAGCGCCTCTCCCAGTAATAATCATTGTACTCTTCTCGTAGACTGAGAGTGTCTATCTCTCTGTCTTCACTGATCATGAACTCACCATAAGGATCACTGACCTCTCCTTTGACCAGCCATTCATCAAGCATCCGAAAGAAAGGAGAGCAAGCACACTTGGTGACATAAAGAGATAGTTTATGTCCGTCCTTATCACCTAAAAGGCTGCTGGTGATATCGTGAAGAAGAGAGAGAGTTCGGCCGCCATGACAGTGACGTGCCCGACTAATAGTGTCTGCAATGTGTGCTAGAAGCTCAAGTGTGTGCATACAAGGTTGAAGATAATACCATATCTTTTGTAGTGTCAGTTCCTTTCTTTTTAGCTGAGTCTCAAGTTGAGCGACGACCAGTAAATATTCCCTGACTAGACCTCTCATTGAAGCAGAGAGTGCCTGGTGGACTGTACCGTGAGTGAATTTAGAGTGTTCCTCAATAAACCGACATATCAAGGAGTAGTGAGTACAGAGAGGAAGGAGTCTGTGAAGTAAAGACTGTAGGCTGGTGTCCAAGGTACGGTCTAGTGTAAAGGCTCGTTTCTGATCCTCTTTCAGTTGCTTGGCAAACAGGTAGCGCCCATTAATGCCTTGCATTAGGTTTAAGAGTTCGTTCATTATTATTTCCTGTTGGGCGGAGAGTGGATGACCCCCTAGGGGGTCAGGGGGTAATTTTGAGTGTAGGGGAGGATACACATAATCAGAAGTGAGGTAGACCCGGTCTTTCACCCATGGAGGAACATAGGGAAATTCCCTCGTCACTCTGCCCTCTTTCCTTTGCTTTTTCTTCTTGTCTGCTTCCTCCATTTTTGAAGTAAAGGATGAGAGCTGGTTCTTGAGTAGTTCCAATTGTCTGTGGGTCAATTTAGTGTCTTGAGGTGGTAGTTCTGGTATGGCCACACCCACTGGAACATCAATCTGCTCAATATCTGTAACCTGTACAGGAACCCTTGGGGTCTGGCTCGGGGGGCGTCGTCTACGTATGAAATCGCATAGTTTAGGATCTTCGGTCAATTTTGCCAGCAGGTAAACTAGAGGGTCAAGTTCTCGAGGTTGCTTTATTTTGAGAGTACTGTATCGCTGCAAAAACTCTTCCCTTTTTGACGAGTGTTCCGATATTTTTCGTAGAGACGTGTGAACGCTTATCTGTGTGGTAACGTAAGGTGTCATGTGACTGATCAATGTGTCGTTGTAAGTATCTGGGGAGAGATGCCTCAACTGCAGCAGCTGCAATAGCTGAGAGGTCAAGTGATGTATTTTAAACTCGTGTGACATTTTTACTTTCTTTTTCTCTTCCTAAAATAAAATAAAATAATTTTTATAATGAAATTGAGCATTCAACTCACCCTGAAAGTTTTGGCGGGCTAAGTATACGGGGTATTTTACGGAGCTTTCTATGGAATATGGAAATGACAATTTAAAGTTTACAGAGGAGGCGTGACTCCGTATACTTAATTAGCTGGCGCTAAAATTTAAACAAGGTTTCTTCTTCAGCTGTCTCCCCTCCTCCTCTCTCTAGCTCTCCATCCCAATGACTAGTGTGGTCAGTAATAGCTAGTTTTATTCCTCTACTACCTTTTCTTTCTGTTACAGGAAGACCCAACCCTTGAGAGACATTTCAAGGGTCATAAAGACACAGTGACCAGTGTGGCCTTCAACCCAAACATGAAACAGTTGGGTTAGCTGTGAATACCCTATCCTCTTATGTCTTTTCTCTTTTGTTGTAGCTACTGGATCAATGGATTCATCACTAATGATTTGGCATTTTAAACCTCAATCAAGAGCATATCGTTTCGTTGGACACAAAGTGATTGAATAAAATAGTCAATTCTTATTTATTTTGTACTACATGACAGGATGCTATATATTCTGTTGATTTCTCACCGTCCGGTCATCTTGTAGCATCGGCTTCAAGAGATAAAACAGTTAGACTATGGATACCAAGCATGTATGTACATGTACCCCAATAGTTCTTTATATATGTGTAACATTCTTTCTCTAGTAAAGGTGAGTCTACTGTATTTAAGGCTCACACTGCTTCAGTACGTCATGTTCAATTTTCACTTGATGGCCAATCATTATTAACAGCATCTGATGATAAAACTATTAAGGTATAATGCATATAATAATTGCAATATAAATACAAATGATATTATTAAAGGTATGGATGGTGCATAGACAGAAATACCAGTTCACATTGAGTGGTCACACTAACTGGGTCCGTTGTGCCAAGTTCTCACCAGATAGTAGACTGATTGCATCATCCAGCGACGATAAAACTGTCAAACTATGGGATAGACTTAGCAAAGGATGTATACACACCTTTCATGAACAGAATGGGTTAGGGAGAGAGAGAGACAGGGGAGGAGAAAGAGAGAGAATACATGTGTGTATACATGTATATATACATGCATGTATGTATGTATGTGTATACATGTATATATACATGCATGTATGTATGTATGTAAGTGCATGTATGTATGTATGTACATTGTATGTTTGCATTGTATAGGGTTTCCTAAGTGAACTAAAGAGCATATTTTTGGCTTTTTAGAGTAACTTTAAATTTAATTAAATTTGATTAAATTTTGATCAGAATTACATATAGCTTTCTATATCTATTTAAAAAATCTAGAATTTTCTCCTAGTCATTTTTGATGAAATACCCCGTACTGTACAGGCTGAGTTTTTAACCCAATTTTTGAGCAACTTTAAAAATTTGTAAAAAATTCAACTTTTTGATCAGAACCAACTCAAAGTTTCTACACAACATAAAAACACGTGCCAAATTCCTGTGGGTTATCCTGATGTACATGTATCTCTCTGTCCATAGGTTTGCTAGTACAGTTGCATTTCATCCTGATGGTAACTGCATTGGCATTGGTACTACTGATAGCTCCATTAAGATATGGGACATAAGAGTCAACAGATTATTACAATACTATCAAGGTACAGTTAAGTTATCAATTCAATAGCCATCTTTATCATAAGTGGTTGATCTCTTTTTTATTGCAGCACACAGTAATTCAGTGAATGGAATATGCTTTCATTCATCAGGAAACTATCTACTATCAGCCTCAAGTGACAATACATTAAAAGTAACATTATACATGTAGTCATACATGTACATGTGTACGTCGTGTGTACATGTGTATGTCATATACATGTACATTATCCTTTTTCCCATTATATTATGTACATGTATGCCATAATTACTACTTTGCACTTAGATATTTGATCTGATTGAAGGAAGACCATATTACACTCTTCATGGACACAAGGCTAGAGACCACAATCGAGATGTACATAACTAAATTTATTTTATACTTATATAGGCTGCTGCTATGGATGTGGACTTTTCACCATCAGGAGATTTCTTTGCTTCAGTTGGAGCTGATGAACAAGTACATACAATACTTCACCATGCATGTACATGTACATTATGTACATACAATGTTCTATTGTAGGTTTTAGTTTGGAAGACTAACTTTGATTCTATAGACTCAAATGAAGGTACAATAGAGATTATATTACACTGAATGTGTATGAGTGTGTATGTTTAGTATTGAAGAATAACATAAGAAGTCAAGTCGGTAGCAGTATACCATATCACAAACACGACCCACCTCCATCATCTACCTCTCATTCATATGCACACGAAGTGATTAAAATATATTATTTTTTAATTATTATTATTTTTATCTAGCTCAATCCTTTAAAAGGACCCAGAGATAACATGCAGCCTAATCCAGGAGTCATTAATATAGCTCCACAATTATTTCATTCACCACAACAGCAAAGACAACCCTCCCCTTCTCCTCCCCCTCCTCCTCCTCCTCTTTTACACTCTCACACAGAGAGAGAAGATCCCTCTTATCATGATAGTACACGTCACACTGCACCATTAGAGCCATTGTCAATGCCACCACAGTTAGCTAACGCACTTGAACATATTGTATCTCAATTGGACATACTAACACAGGTAATGAAAAGGGAAGGTGTGAAGTACCGTAGATCGGGAAATTTTTGTGTTAAAAATAATTGGTGTGAAAATTTTTCAAGGTGTTTTATTTTCGTTGGTTGACCCATCCACGAAATTTTTTTAACACGAAAAATTTTGGATGTGTTATAAACAGGACACGTGGCTGCTGACTCTTGACAATGGTGGACTACTATTCGATGGAAGTTGCTCGTGACAGCACTGAAACTGACAAGGAGCCTCTTGGGTGAGAGCTTCAGGCCTTCATTGGGCTTTAAGAAGAGCCTCGTGCCAGCCGTGCATGCACTACTGCATGTTAGAATAGACTAATTTTGGTAATCTAATTATTCACTGTAAAAAATATTTCGTGTGTCAAAATTTTGTGGGTCACTTCAACCACAAAAATATTTTAACAACGAAAATTTCCCGATCTACGGTATACACTCATGATTGTGCATATAATCTATTATGTTCTTTAGTCTCATTTTTTATTTATTTTTTTTATTTTTAGACTGTGTCAATATTAGAGCAGAGGCTAACAATGACAGAGAATAAGTTAAAGGAATGTATTGATAATCAGCAAAGAATAACATTACAAATACAACCAGATACATAATATATGCATACAAACACACCCACATGCACACATATAAAATTTAAATATATACCAGTACTGTGGTTTACCTATAGAGGAATAAAAAAAGCCAAACAGAAAATGACCTGTATTAGCTCCTATTATGTAGAATAAAAAGAACTTAGAATCACTATTTTCACTCATGATAATAGATCTAATGATTATACTATTAATAACGTGGGAAGTAGAGCATTTGTGTTTTTGGTTTATCTTTTGGCTTAGACTTTTTACTTTTGATGGTGGCACTACTCTCGATTCCTGAGTCAATTATTGGTGGATCAGACATGGCTGTAGATTGTTCATTGCTTTGGATCTGGAGCTCAGAATTTAACTTTTCAATGAGTTTGCCCTGTTCTGCAACAGTTTTTTCAAGATTGCAGATACGGTTTTCAGCATTGAGTGTTGCAGCATTTTTCTCATGAGCCTCTAGGCGACCCAACATTTGAGCTATCAATTCTTTAAGTTCTTCTTGATCAGTAGCTTTTTTTAGACATTCGTCAATCCGCTCCTTAAGGCATTCCTTTTGTTGCTTTAGAGACTTGACTTCTTCTGTGAGATCTTTTTGGGATGCTTCAATTTGACAGATACGCTCTGATACCTTTAAGTACTGGTCAAGCACAGTGGGCAGGCCAAGATCTTTACAGCTCAACAGACCAGGGACACACTATAATGATATTAGTTGTTATTGCCCAATGAGGTCTAGCTCCATAAACCTTATGTCATACCTGTTGTGTCTCTTGTTTGGATTCTACTTGATAAAAATTCATGTTTGTTGACCTGTCTTTATTAGCTGAATGGACTATTGAAGGTTGTCAGGGTTTGTTTTCATAACATCAATACATTGACATAGTGCAGGGGTATTTTTATCCAGTAAAGATATCATTATGCAAACACTTCATAATAGTAAACCATAAAAGTTTTAAACTGGAACAATCTTTAATTATGAACCTCATATAGCATTTACAATTAATACTGACAATCTATGTGTAAAATAACTTCTTAACAAAAATAGCACAGTATTTATTGAAGCCTAATTATAAAACTAGTATATAAAATTTATCAATATTTAGTAGAAAAAAATTAAGTATGCTAACTAGAACATAAATAAATATTTAACTCCTAAGATTTACATGCATCCATAAAAATAACTAGAAACCTATTTTTAGTGTGTGGAAGGTGCTATAGAGTCTTCATCTGGATAGTCTAGTTTTATTTTCAGTTCTTGCTCACCAGATACGGTGGGTTTACTTCTGATGCTATGAGCACTTAGATACCCTGAGTCATCATGAACATTAGATGGTGTACTCTTTTGTTGAGGTGTAGACTCAGGCAGAGTTCCTATTGGGGGTAAATTTTCCTTGCGAACCTCATTAACAAGTTCATTAATGACTTTCTGTTGCTCTGCAACAATACTTTGTAATTCTTTTATTTGCTTTTGACATTTCTCATTATTTTCTTTCGCTTCTTTTTGAGCTTCTTTTACATGTGTTGTAACTGTTGTTAAATCTCTCTCAATAGCCTCTAGACGATCCAACATTTGAGCTTTCAGTTCTTTGTGAGCAGTATCTTTTAGGCATTCCTCAATCTGCTCCTTTAGAGACTTTAGTTTATCTTCAATTCGACTTATACTCAAGCACTTGTCAAATACAGTGGGTAGGCCTTCAGTATTCAATAGACCTGTGACAAACTATAATAAAATATTTATAATAATAACCTAGGTCTGTTAGAACATCATTCTAGGTTCTACCTGCTGTGTATCTTGTTTAGCTTCTTCTTCGTATGAGCTCATTTTGATTAAATATTGTCTCGAGAGAGAGAGAGAGAGAGAAGAGATATTTTTTAAAGAGAATTCAAGTCAAAAGAGAAGTTTTAAACTTCTCGTTAGATGACAGTTACTTTTTTAAAATTAATTTTTGCGCCAACCGGCCCTCCCCTTCCTAATCACGTGACTTTTTCTCAAACCATTGTGTACCGCCCACGGACGAAGAAATTAATTAGTCTTATTTAATAAGAGCTTCAGTAAGCTCAGTCTGTCACTTGTCCTTGTTGTATATAATTGGTAATTGTCATTTAGTTCACAACTAGTTCACAGTAGTAACTCTTAATTTTAATTTATAATTGCTGTACAAGTTGTAGCTAGCCTTTAATAACATTGTTCTTTAGTTCTTGTACTATGCTTTTACAGTTAAAAAATCATTTATTATTATTATTATTATTCTTAAACAGAACCAATCATGCCTCTCAAATGAAAGCTTTTTAAAGGTCGTAAAAGCTGTAAAGAGATCCATCATAATAGTACAGCTAATTGTTGAGCAACTTTAAAAACTTCATTAATTTTGATTGGAACAAGCTCAAAATTTTTATGTAACATAAGAGCATCAATGTGCATCAAAAAATTATAAAAGTTGAAAAATATCTTCATAATCCTCTAGACATTTTTGATGAAATTTGACCAAAGACCATGTTGGTTCGATTTTTTGCCCAACTTAACTTAAAATCTACTAACAAGAAGCTGAGCACTATGCCAAATTCTTGTAGGACCTGATGTACATATATCTCTCCATAGGTTTGCATAGTAACGCAATTGTATTTTACTAACAATATTAGAGCAGAGGTTACAATTACAGAAAATAAGTTAAAGGAATGTACTGATAATCAACAAAGAATAACCTTACAAGTACAACCAAATAATTAATAAAAAAGACATCATATGCATACACACTTATTCTACAGTGTACACTATAAAGACATAATAAAATGCTTTTATTTTTGAGCACAGGACAGTCCAGAGTTAAGTACAATTAAATCTTATTGAGTGCTGCACGACTGCTGCTCAATGGTTCTTTCAAGGTTTCGTGTTCCCCTGCTCCTTTGTCCACAGTAGCAAGTAGGTCTCCAGTAGAAGAAGCACGTTTGTGACCATGTTTGAATGTTAGACTCTCATTAATTTTGCTTGCCTTTTGCTTGACATGAACAGAAGAAGTGCGTTTGAGGCTAGTAGGATTTGTATAGTCAGACTCTGCCTGACTAAGACTTGTAGGGGTCGCCTTATCTGATCTAGTAGCCTTATCTGCAAAAATAGTACTACTCTCATGATCACTATCTTGAACTGGGATTTTTTTCTTCTTTCCATTCCTTCTGGACCACCATGATTTGCCTGACTTGTCTTCTCCTGATGTGGCTTGCTGACTCTGTAACATTGTGATGTCATCGGACAGATTGTTCATTTGTTCGTTTAGTTTTGCATTATGGTCAAAAAGATTTTTAATGAGCTCATTGGAATTTTCACACTCCTCTTCCAAATCCTTAATACGCTCTTCCAATTCTTTAATCTTCTTGTCATGGTAACCATAAGCCTCCATACTAGGTTTTACTTTTCCCTCTAATGCTTTTAAACGATGCAAAATATCTTCCTCATCGTTACTTTTACTAAACGATTTAATGGCCCTGCTAAGTTCAGATTCAAGATTTTTAATACTCTGAGTGTTAGCATCAACTTTGGTCTCTAGCTCCCCAATAATTTTGTAAATTTCCTGTTTAAGCTGACTCTTTTGTTCTTTTAGTGACTGGACTTCTTTTTTCAGTTCTTCGACATGATCCCCTTGTTGTTTCTGAGACTCTTCAAGTTTCTTCTGAGATTTTTCCAGTTGATCATGAACTGCTTTATACCGTTCAAAGACAACAGCATATGTATATGAATGTGGTAGCATGCCATGAACATACTATAAAAGAAGATGAATTTGGGTTACAATTATTCTATAGACTGGATCTGATTACCTCTGACTCTTTTTCAGATGTAGTCTGGTAGCTTTCTGCCATCTCACTTAGCTCTTACTAAGACAAAACTGTACTGTGATAAAACTCTACTCTCTAGATGGCTATCACCGCTTCACTACTATATTAGACGTGACTTGCAGTTATGATAGAAACCCATATATGCAGCACAATCAGTTGTGGACAATGAACTACACAATGTAGCATTACTCATGTGACTGACAGCCTAGCATTCGTGCGCTCTTGTTCTATAAAAGTATATGTATTTTACAAATACCAAATTTAATTCTAGTGGTAGAAAACAAAGAAATCTGAACACAAAAAGTAAGTGATGTCAGTTTAATTAACATTGCATGGCCATCATACTTGTTTATTTTATGTAGAAGTTTTGAAGAAATGAAAGGGAAAGACAATAACAAAAATCATGCAAAACAGCTTCAATTGTACAGCTTGCTTGACCACAGGACTGAGACATACATAGCGTGAAGTGTGAACTACTTTGATTTGTCTGACAACATGCGACGAATATTAATCAATAATTTTTTGTCTTCTTGGTTCAAAGTAGGATTTCTTGTAATGGAAGATGTTGGAGAGACAGGAGTTTCAAAGACATCATCCAGTTCGTCCTCGAATGCTGAATCGGATGCTGAAAAACTGTAGGACCGTGACCGTAATCTGGAGAAGTTTGGAGGAGGAGGAGTGCGGTTAGGTTGAAGGAGAAACTTGTCAATCAATTGTATTAGGATAGTAATGAAATTTTCATATGAGCTTATATTACGATCATTATCAAGGCGGTCAGAGGAACGACGACGGTTTATTTTATAAGACTCAAGCTCTTTGACATACTTTTTAAGCTCTGATACTTCACTTGATAAGCGAGTTAAGTTAGATGCTGCGTCATCTACTTGATCTACTTTCTCAGTGAAACCATCCAGTCTTCTTGACTCTTGATCCAGTTTCTCTGATTTTTCGTCCACTTTTCTGGAAACACCTTCCAATTTTTCAGACTCCTGATTGACCTTCTTAGAAATGTCTTCCAATTTCTTGGACTCATTGTCTACTTTTTCGGAGAGGCCTTCCAGTTTCTTAGACTCCTCATTCACCTTCCTGGAAACATCTTCCAATTTGTCTGATTCTTGATTAACCTTCGTTGACACACCTTCTAATTTCTCAGACTCCAAATCAACCTTCTTGCGAACACCCTCACAAACACCACTTAGCCTCCTTGACTCCTCCTCAACTTTTTTGACAGCATCATCCATGGCCGGGACTAGGGCTTGGTGAGCGATACCAATGAGCCTCTTTTCAAGACAACGGAATTGAGCCTGGACATTTTGGTCCTGGAGGTCCTCCCTTTTCTTCAAGCCTTGCATAGAATCGGTGATTTCGCTGACATCACTGCTAAGGATCTCCAGACGACGGCTTATTTGTTTTATAACATCTTCTGTCGAGAGATCATCAGCAACGAGTACACCTACTACTCCGCTCTAAATGTAACAACAAAAAGACTCAGCGTAGTCTTACTGGGGGATATTAATTACCCTGGTCTTGTTTGTGGCACTTTCACAGCTGACTTGATATTGTTCTGCCATGAAAACAACAACATAAACAAAAAGGACAAAAGAGGTCAGCAATCAGGGTACAGGTTAGAGGGTACAAGAACTATCACGTGATGCAACTGCCACCGGTATTATGCTAGATATATCCCAGTTGAGTTTGGGACAAGAAAAACTGGAATAACTTTCTATAGGAATGTGGGATAAGGATGAAACTTTTACAGGTTCTTAGTCGCCAAAGTCCATCAAAATCTGTGAAATTTTGGGTCTCTCAGCCCTTGGGAACCCTGAGAACCGGGTTCTCCCTATAAACCCAATGGCATACCAAAATGACGTTTTATGACAATTTATCTACGTCATAGTTTACATAAGAACATGTGGTCGAGCGCCCAAACTGATAATTCTTCTTTTAAAAAGCTAACAGAGCCAGATCTTTTGATAATAATGGCCATTATGAAGACTAGTAGGCTCCAGCAGCTATTGTACTGCTTATCAGCAACAGCAAGACTGTTTTAAGAGTGAAACAACACAGCCGCCATGCTTCTATGAATATAATTAAAATACGTCATTTTGTGACGTAACTACATTTCGCAGCTGCTTCCACTTCCGTCCCAAACTGAACTGGGACATAGTATATAATCAATAACCATGAATGCCTTGCATCAAGATTATTATAATTAGAGTAATGCTTGCATTAAGATTCAATTATCAATCAGCAAAGGATAATTGTTTTTACAAAAAGTACAACCAAACAAATAACACCTAAAGAACTATAAAATCAACAAACATGCACTGAGAGGATATTAGTAACTTGTACTATTTTGTAGTTATTTTCCAAATTCCAGTAATCATTTTCAAAGGCCCACTGTTTTACATAACTTCATCAAGTGTTGCTCGACTACTGCTCTTGTCTTTCAGTGTCTCCATTGGTGGCAGATCTATTTGCTGCATTGATTGTGTAAATCGTTTTAGCTCTGCCTTTCTACTCATAGCATTTGGTATGTTGTCAGTAGATAAAGCACGTCCAAGACCATGAGTGGTGTCTGCATCTGAGCTGCTGCTGTTACTAGATACAGAAACAAGCTGCTTACGACCATAAGAAACTGCCATATTTTGGTTGCCTTGAGGTGCGTAAGTCTGTATCATATCATTCACATGTACAGGTGTAGGCTGCTTTTTTGGCTTGCCTTCTTCAAACATAACTTCATTTATCTGCTCATGCAGCTGTGCTGTCTCCTTAAAAAGAACTTGAATGAGTGCTTCTGAATCACTAAGCCGTTGCTCTAAGTTATTCCTAAGTTTCATCTCTTTGCATGCCTCAGTGTTAGCTAACACTTTTTCCTCTAGTGCCACCAATCGAGTCATCACATCATCTTGATTACCATCCTTCCTAGCTGAAACTACAAGGAATTTATCAAACTTTGATTCAAGACTCTTGATACACTCAGTGTTAGCATAGACCTGAGTCTCTAGCTGCTCAAGGACCTTGTAAATTTCCTGTTTAAGCTTACTCTCTTCCTCCTTAAGCTGTTTGAGTGATTGGAATTCTTTTGAGAGATGATCTATGTGTGTTTTCTGCTGCTTTTGAAAATCTTCAATTTGATGGATACGGTTTTTTACATCAATGTACTTTCCAAAGACATCGGCAAAAGATGATCTACACACCAGGGTGCCAGACACAAACTATTTAACAAGCAGCATATAAAATGGCATAATATAAACTTAAAGTTACTTCTTGTGTAGACTCTTCTTTGGGTGATGACTGGTAGCTTTCAGCCATATCTTGCTGTAACTCTCTCTTGTGTCTGCTGTAATTTCCTGGTGCCGTCTGTTGGTGGACTAGCTAGACACATTTTTGTACGAATTTGATGATAAAGCAGATAAACAATTAGTATAAGAAGCCCAGATTGCACAAGGAACATGCTTTAAAGTAAACATTTACCTATTTTAATAATGACATCAGTAATGTGCAGCATTTTTATTATTCAAATTTCAAAGTGGAGCCACGTGATTCCATGTTTTTGAAGTATACGGAGGATAAACCGGATATTATGCATCAAAGCAAATGGCAACCTAAGTTCATCTAAACAGTGCTAACAGTAAGAAACTTTAATTGGCCCAGTTTTTAACCTTTACATTTCATTTGGTTTTAGTTATAACACCATTGAAGTTAAATGCCGCATAAATGCCAATTTAATATTAAATTACTATTAATGCATTCAGTCCTATGGTAAGCTATATTAAGTGACTCTGGAGTCTGCAGGAGCTTTTACTATTTGGTCTTAGTTTTTTGCTTTATACTAGGTGATAATGCATCTTTTCTTGGCGTACTAGTGTCCCTGGGCTGCAATTTTGACTTATTCAATAACCTGGAATCTCGATCGTCTGAGAGTAAATTTTCTGATGAACGAGTTCGTTGCTGCGAAGAGTCGGTTTTTTCTAATCCAGAGTCACTTAGATTACTTGTAGACTTTGAAAGATATCGTCGTGGTAGATTGATACTGTCAATCTCAAGACCACTTGGTATTTGGGCAGATAATTGGTTAAACTTCTCATCAATGTACTTTTCAAGTTCATTCTTCATGGCCTTGAGTTTTGACTCACTAGAGTCTTTAAGCTCTTTCTGCATAGTCTGAATTTCTGCTATTTGGGTCTCAAGCTTTTTAAAGTGTTCCCCTGCTTCTTTTTTGAGCTGTTTTTCAGCTTTTTCTGTTAGCTGAGAGGCCACTTTACATGCTTGTGTGTTATCTTGCACTTGTTTCTCTAGTGCTGCCAAGCGTTTAAAGATATCATCACTTTTAGGCAAGGGGCGTGGTGAGACTACACCACTTTCAGTTTCATTTTCTGCTGCCCTTCCTTTGAGTGCTAGTGTATTTTCCTTTACTTGAGCCTCTAATTTTTCAATTAGTTCAATGAGTTGTTTTTTAATCTCAGCCTCTTTGAGTTTCAGCTCTTCTAGTTGTAACTTATGACCTTGTGAAGTGAGCTCTAATTTGGATACATGATCCTTGACTTCCAAGTAGTTTTGAAAAAGGACAGCAAAGCTTAAGCCATCGACATGAAATGTGCCTGGTACAACCTGCCAATGAGGAAATGAGAATGATTATGATGAAGGGTAAGTTATAATGTTTAGTACTGTTTACCTCATGTAATCCTGCTTCACTTGGTTTTGTCAAATAAGTCATTTCATCCTCCATTTTTTATGCCTCCAAAAATGGTCAAACAAAACCATGTGACTGGAACTGTAGGGTTAACTTGTAGTTGTTTATATAGGATCATTTAGGGAAAACTCAGCAAAACAATAATTTATGGTTTCATGTTGGTCTAGATGTTGTGAAAATGTGTCTTGATGTTGTGAATGTATTCTTTTATTGTAGAGTAACAACTTGCAATTATTGATTTACTATCGATTACAGTACTACATTACTACTGATTACATGTTATCTTTATGTTGCTATGATCACAGTCATTTTTTTGGAATAAACCGAATTAGTTCTAATTATAAAAATTGTTTCCATAGAAACGTCAAATCAACGCCCACGCATTAATAAAATGAACTTCAGTTCAAACAGTTGCCATTTTGGTTTCAAGAAACAGAGACTCGAACAAAGATAAGGCAATATGCCTCTCAAGGGAAAGCTTTTCAAAGGTCGTAAGAGCAAAAGAGATGGAGATGCCTCCAGTATTGCTAGCACACAGTCACAAGAAGGTAGGTACTTACTTTTCCTGGGACAATTAAACCAACATGACCATCTTTCTCTCTAGTTCCTGTAAATGGTGTTGGCTATACTATCCTCAAACCAGACAAAGAGCTCCCGTTCAAGCTACACAGAGCAGTATGGAATGCCCGGACTGAGAAACTGATGCATCTTTTAGAAGAGAACAGTGGCAAGTCAGGCAAACCTAAACATGACCCTAATGCTGTTGACAAGAAAGGAAGGTAATGGAGAAAGACAAGTTGTAGATCTACTTTTATTTACTTTATTTTGTAGAACTGCACTTCATTTAGCAGCTGTGAAGGAGGACCCAGCACTAATAGACCTTTTAGCAGCTACTGCAGTTCCATCATGTAGAATGCAGGACTCTGATGGAAATACTCCTTTGCATAAGGTAACAACACTCTCTTCCCCTTTCTCTTTGTTTTCGTTTTGCATACCTTGTGGTAAACACAATATTTACACACATCACTACCTTTACTCAAGAATTCAATATAAACTAACAAATTATTATACTATACCTCATCCTCATAACTGCTGATATACAATATACATGTACATGTACATATACAGCCCAGAGAGGCAGAGGATAGCTCTTTGTGTGAAAGACAATATGCCATATCTGGTTGCATTGTAAATGAACCGACCACTTATTAGCTGCTGCTCTAAGAAATGCTATACTCAGATAATGAGTTAAACTGATACGTTGTTGTTATTAAAATGTATAATTATTTTAAACTATCTACTTTCGAATTTTAAAATAATAAATACAGCTGTATAAACCTCTCTCTTTCTCTCTTCTCTTTATCTCTCTCTCTCTCTCTGTTGTTTCTCTTTACAGGCGGTTGAGTGTAAGAAATATGCATCTGCTGTAAAGATAATTGCAATGACAGAGAATGTTAATGTCAGAAACAACAATGGACACACTCCGCTTCATTTGGCATCTCTTAACAATGATGTGCCCATGGCACACAAGCTTTTAGACAAAGGAGCTTATGTTGATGAATGTGACAATGTAATCCTCTCATTACATCTCTCCTTTTAGCGTCCTTAATATTTTTTCATTATTCTTTTAGAATGATAATACACCATTGTCTCTGTCTTGCATTCATTCTCATAAAGAGTTTGCTGAGCTAATGGTCAAAGAGGATTGTAATGTCAACATCCAAAACAACAAAGGACTGTGAGCTTCATTATCATCACATTCACTGCATGTACATACCATCTCTCTCTCCCCCCCCCCTCTCTCTCTTCCCCTCTCTCTCTTCCCCTCTCTCCCTCTTTCTATTAGTACCCCATTGATGTTAGCTGTTATGGAGAATCAGCTCTCAATTGTTACTTGTCTTCTTGAGGCTCCACAAATTGACATTGACGTGAAGGAATTCACTGGAAAGAGAGCAATCGACTATGCCCAACCAAACTCCTCGTTAGTAAAGAGAGATAAAGAAAGAGCTGCTGTTTTATCCTCTCTATTATTTTTTAGTATTTTTTCAGTTCTCAATAAGAAAATGGCTTCTGATGATACTGCATCTCCAACGGCATCTCATTTTCCCCAACAAGGTTTGCAATAATTAATAATACCAATTTCACTAATCAATAATTATATCCTAAGTGCATAAGCACATTATACTTTATTCAGTTATAAAGATAATCAGTTATAATTATGCTTTAAACTCATACTAAATTGTACACTGTAGGTACTGGTACTGGAGGTAGTTTTGGTGCTAGTCCTATTGCAACTGTCAGTACATCAGCAGCACCTCCTACTTCAAATATACTAGAGTAAGTTAGAGAGAGGTGGGAAGGAAGGAGGAAGAAGAGGGAATGCAACCATAAAATCACGTTGCAGTAATTTTTTTAATTTTACACGTGTACTCCCTATTTCTTTCTTACTTTTCTCTTAGTGATCTCTCTAGACAGGATACTTTCCAGTCATCTGACAGTGATTCATCTCTCATTGATGCAGTAGGAGGAGGAGGAGGAGGAATAGGGAGTGGGTTGGTTGGAGGTAGAGAGGAGACAAGTTTCAATATGGACGAAGCAATGAAGGAGAAGCTAAGGAAGACATTCCTAGGAGATGATGATGATGATAAGGAAGAAAAAGTAACAAAAAATGAAGAGACAGATATTGCTGTGACAGTTACTGTACCTGCAAAAGGTAAGATAATAATGATGATGATGGTGTTGATGGTGATTTGTGGCAGATGTTAAAAGTGATGCTGATAAAGTGCCTATACATGAGACTCCTAAACTTAACGTTCATGAAACTTCAGCTCTTACATCAGAAGAAGAGGAGGAGGAAGAGGAAATTAATGGAGTAATACCAAAGAGAAGAGAAGGAGAGGAAGGAGGAGGAGAAAGGATGAAGGACTCACCAGTTAAAGAGAGACCAAAGCCTTTGTTAACTGCTGGGGCTACTTCAGTCACTGATAACAGCAAACAAACTAGTGATAACTTAAAAGGTACACACATTCACGTACATGTACATGTACAGTACATGTACAGTACATGTACACGTAATACTACTTGTACTATAGTGTGTTTGTGTATCAAAGACTCCTCCACAAGTTTGTATAGTGGAGACCACAGGAGAGGTAGTTAGAAATGTCACACATGTTTACCAGTATGTAGCTACATTTGTACATCAATATGATTAAATTTGCAATAATAAAGCTACATCAATCATTATAGGTAGTTTTCATATCTCTTCTCTTCGTTTGATAGATACTGATTCCAATGCTAAGGATCACATTACTATTACTGATGATATTGCCCATCAATCATCACATACTGAGGCCAGCCAACATGTCCACAAACCACCACCTAGTCCTGCTAAACCTGTTGAACGAGATAACTGGGACTGGGACTCAAGTGAATCAGAAGAGGAGGAGGAGGTGGAGGTGGAGGTGGAGGTGGAGGAGAAAGAAGTTGAGCTGCACAAAGTTAAAGAAGGAGAGAAAGAGCCAGAGGAGTCATCAAAATGGGACTCAACTACAACAGATGATGATGATCTTGATGAGAATGACCTGCCCAGTTTTGATACGAATCTAACTTCTTTTTACAACCATCAGTCATTCAGTACACCATTAAACACTACACCATCTACTACTAGACCACTCACTTCTATTAGCAGTCCTCTCGGTTTAGCAACAGCTACCAATGCTACACCATCTTCAGTCCAAACTTATACAGCCTCTACTCCTCATAGTGCCTCAATTGGGCTCATTCCTACTGCTACTGTTACTGGTAGTGGAGCTACTGGTGGAATCCCGTCTGTACAGGTTTTAGAAAGGACCCTAAAATCACAAGATTCTAATATTATAAATGATGATTCTGACTATCATGTGTCTAGCGGGGGTAAACTTTTGCCACAGACATCAACAGATTTTAGACTATCAATGAAAAATGAGAATGAACTTGGTGGAAGTGAAGTCATTGATACCTTGGGAGCTACTCCTAAGAAACCCAGTGCAGTTCCTGCATATCGGAGCGAACCCACAATAACATCTGTACTGAGTGGCAATACAAATATGCAATCACTGATAGCTGAGAGAAAGAAAGCAAATCAAGATAACTTAGAACATGTTCTCACTCGTGAAGAGGAGGCATCAAGACGCAAGAAGGAAAAGGACTCGGAGATTTTGAGGATGCTTGAGCAGCGAAAGAAGATAACCGATGGTGACAGTGTGACATCGTCGCCTATAAAGACTACCAACACAACAGAGGAGAAAGAAACTGGAATTAAAAGAAACAAGGCTCAACTGATGAAAGAGAAGTGGGAGAGTGGAGCACTTAATATATCATCGTCGTCATCATCTTCCATCCCGAGCACCCCCACCTCTCCCTCTCCCTCTCATCTCCCCCTCTCCCTCCCTCCTCCTCATCCAGCCAGTAAACATGAGGGAAGAGGAGGAGGAGGAGGCACTTCTGATATCATTCACACTACACCTTCAAGACAGACTTTAGATGTAAGTATATGTACATGTACAGATGTAGATAGTTTGAGCTGATTCTGACATAATTATGATAATTTTTAAAATGTGCCAATTTTTGAAAAAATACCACAAGCTACGCGTGTATAGCCCATGGTTTTTTCTAAAAAATGACTCCAAAATGACTCCAAATTTTTATTGCATTTTTTGATACATATTGATGTCTTTATACTGTGTAGAAAGTTTGAGCCGATTCCGACAAGAAATTTTTGCGTTATGGCCATTTTTAAAAAAAAGGACCAATTTATGAAAATATCCAAGGCTATAGCCCATGGTTTTTCCAAAAAATGGCTCCGAAATCATTTCAAATTTTTATTGCACTTTTTGATACATATTGTTGTCCTTATACTGTGTAAAAATTTTGAGTCGATTCCAATAAGAAATTTTGCGTTATGGCCATTTTAAAAAAATGGGCCAATTTATGAAAATACCCAAGGCTATAGGCCATGGTTTTTTCCAAAAAATGGCTCCGAAATCATCTCAAATTTTTATTACATTTTTTGATACATATTGATGTCCTTATACTGTGTAGAATGTTTGAGTCGATTCTGATAAGAAATTTTCGAGTTATGGCCATTTTTTTAAATGAGCAAATTTTGGAAAAATACCCATAGTCCATGGTTTTTTTTTCAAAAAATGGCTCCGAAATGACCCCAAGTTTTTATTACATTTTCTGATACATATTGATGTCCTTATGCTGTGTAGAAAGTTTGAGTTGATTCCGACTTCAATTTTTCGAGTTACGGCCATTTTAAGAAAATGCCAAAAATCTGAAAAATACCCAAGGCTATAGCCCATGGTTTTTTCCAAAAAATGGCTCCGAAATCACCCCAAATTTTTATTACATCTTCTGATACATATTGATGTCCTTATGCTGTGTAGAAAGTTTGAGCTGATTATGACTTCAATTTTTTGAGTTACGACCATTTTAAGAAAATGCCAAAAATCTGAAAAATACCCAAGGCTATAGCCCATGGTTTTTTCCAAAAAATGACTCCAAAATCACTCCAAATTTTTATTATATTTTTTGATACATATTGATGTCTTTATATTATGTAGAAAGTTTGAGTCGATTCTGACAAGAAATTTTTGCGTTATGGCCATGCATTTTTAAAAATTGGACCAATTTATGAAAATATCCAAGGCTATAGCCCATGGTTTTTTTCCAAAAAAATTTTTCAAATTTTTATTTCATTTTTTGATACATATTGTTGTCCTTATACTGTGTAGAAAGTTTGAGTCGATTCCGATAAGGAATTTTTGAGTTATGGCCATTTTTTAAAATGAGCCAATTTTTGAAAATTACCCAAGGCTATAGCCCATGGTTTTTTCTAAAAATGGCTCCAAAATCATCTCAAATTTTATTACATTTTTAAAAACATATTGATGTCCTTATACTGTGTAGAATGTTTGAGTCGATTCCAATAAGAAACTTTCAAGTTATGGCCATTTTTTACAATGAGCCAATTTTTGAAAAATACCCAAGGCTATAATAGCCCATGGTTTTTTCCGAAAAATGGCTCCGAAATCATCTCAAATTTTTATTACATTTTTGATACATATTGATGTCCTTATACTGTGTAGAAAGTTTGAGTCGATTCCGACAAGAAATTTTTGCGTTATGGCCATTTTTAAAAAATGGGCCAATTTATGAAAATACCCAAGGCTATAGCCCATGGTTTTTTTCCAAAAAATGGCTCCAAAATCATCTCAAATTTTTATTACAATTTTTGATACATATTGATGATGTCCTTATACTTTGTAGAAAGTTTGAGTCGATTCTGATAAGTAATTTTTGCGTTATGGCCATTTTAAAAAAAAATGGGCCAATTTATACCCAAAGTTATTATTATTATTATTATTATTATTGTTATTATTGTTATTATTGTTATTATTATTGTTATTATTATTATAGCCCATACTTTTTTCCAAAAAATGGCTCCAAAATCATCTTAAATTTTTACTACATTTTTTGATGCATATTGATGTCCTTTTACTGTGTAGAAAGTTTGAGTCGATTCCAATAAAAAATTTTTGAGTCATGGCCGTTTTAAAAAAAATGGGCCAATTATTGAAAAATACCCAAGGCTATAGCCCATGGTTTTTTCAAAAAAATGGCTCCGAAATCATTTCAAATTTTTATTGCATTTTTTGATACATATTGTTGTCCTTATACTGTGTAGAAAGTTTGAGTCGATTCCGATAAGAAATTTTTGCGTTATGGCCATTTTTTAAAAATGGGCCAATTTTTGAAAAATATCCAAGGCTATTATTGAGTTATGGCCATTTTTAAAAATGGGCCAATAAAATGGTTCCGAAACCACCCCAAATTCTTATTGAGTTTTCTGATATATATTGATGTCCTTATGCCATGTAGAAATTTTTGACTAGAGTTATAGCCACCACCTCCCCCCCCCCCAATTTTTATTGATGTTCTTATGCTAGTATACTGTGTACATTAGTATCGTTATGCAAGGGAATAACAATAGAGGTTACACACATGTACATACATGTACAGTACATGTATATACATGTATATTATTTATTTTAAGATTACAAATATTTATTTTAAGTTGAAGTTTCCTTTATATTTCATTTCCCTGCCCCTACCTCCTTGTAGGCATCAGTCACAGCCAGTCACAGTAAAGTATCTCCTCAGAAGCTACTCCAGTCATCAGGACCCTCTGGTCTAAGCAGCCTCAACTCCCCATCTTCCTCTTCAAGAGAAGGACCCAATGAGGACATTCAAAAGAAATATGAAGAGCTTCACAGACAAAATCTTAAACTGGAGAACGAGAAGCTTGAGAAGGAGCTTGAGGTGCGTGGACTCAAGTATCAATTGGATCAGATTAAAGGAGACTATCAGACTGTACTGGATGTTAGAACAAATTTAAAAGTGAGTTAATACTGTTAAAGATTGTGCTAAGATAATGCTAAGTATTGATCTGATTCTGTGTTAATATTGAATCAAAAAGTTGTTAAGAATGAGTTAAGATTGTGCTAATAGTTTTATTTAGCTTTGTGTGTTAGCATCGAGTCAAAGTCGTGTTAGCGTAGCATTGAGCTCAGTGTTAAATTATTGTTAAAACTGTGTTAACATTGTGTTATTAGGATCAGTTGAGTCGTGCTGAGGATCAGATGAGAGAGAAAGCTGAAGACACTCAATCAATCGCACTTAGAATGAGAGAAATTGAAATGGAAAATAAATCACTGCAAGCTAAATGCCAGCAACTGGAGGTAAAGTAACAGAAAAAATACATCTGCATAATATTAATTGTTTTATTACCATTATATTACTTTTATTGCCTGCACGCATTAATTGGAACATTAAAAAATGATGGGAAAGTCAAATGTTGGGTGATTTTGGGTGGCAAATTTTAAATACATGTAAATGTACACATGTACATGTACACATTATGTGTCTAACTATCTTCTCTTTATCAGGAAGAGTTGCAGGTTTTAAAAGAGACACTGGATACAGAGAGACAAGAGTATTTTTCAAATGCCGCAGCTTACGAAGAACAGAAGAGACTCTATCAAGAACTGAAAGGAGAAGCTGACAGAGCAGTGGAACAGCAAAAGACCCTTTCTGGCCTACTGGATGAAGTGGATAACGCAAAGGATAACCTTGGGAAAGAAATAGTGGAACTAAAGGAGACAAATAAAAAATTAGAAGTAAAAAAATAAAATGGTGATAATTATTGTAATATTATTTCTGAGCTTAAACTTACATTATTATACTTTTATTATTGTTATTATTATTATTATTATTATTATTATTATTATTGTTATTATTATAGACTGAACTGATTGAGACTAAAACACAGTATGAACTAACTCAAAATCAACTTGAGGGACAATTAGAAGAACTGAGAGAAGAAGTAGGTCCATGTACAAATGTATATCAGATAAAAATAAGACAAAATGATTGTATTTATTTTATAATAATATCTCTCTTTGTTTTCTTTAGGTTTCAGAGTACAGGGAAAAGGATGCTGTTATGAAGAAAAATTTAACTGATTTGAGTGGGAAAGTTGAAGTACTGACAGCTGCACTGGACAAAGAAACTAATACAAGACAGAGACTAGAAGAACAAGTATTGATATTGATGTTAAGATTGTGTTAATGTCACATTAGTATTTTGTAGTCTAGTATTGATATTGATATTAACATTGCGTTAATGTCGCATTAGTATTCTGTAGTGTAGTATTAATATTGATGTTAACATTGTGTTAGTTTAGTGTTATATTCTTGTAGCTATCATCGGCCAGTAATGAAGTCTCACAGCTTCAATTGGAGAGAGCTAAAGGTGACAAAGCTTCACTAGAGGCCAGCCAAGAACTACTGAGAGAGAAACTAACACTAGAGAAGGACCTGGGCACTGCTAAAGAAGAGAAGCAACGATTATCAATACAGTTTGATAATGTACAGGGAAAACTGATAGCTACTGAGCAAGAGGTATATAATTAATAGGAATATATTTTTAATACATACATGCACATGTACATGTACTTACATGCATATTAATTAATGCTTTTAATTGGTTCCCAAATTTTTAAGCAGTTTTTGTAGCACAGAATCAATGCCTCACTCAATTTTGTATCTACAGCATTTTTTATTAACTTTTAAATCTTTTTCATTTAGTTGAAGTCAACTGTTTCAGTTGTTAGCGATAAATCAAATCAAATATCAAATCTACAGAGACAAGTTGATCAGTTGACACATTATCAGCAAACAGCTCAGGAATCACTCATCAGAGAAAAAGAAAAAGTACGTACAATAATTATTATTAAATTATTATTTGACAACTTGGTAACTTTTACTGTTCCTCTCTCCTCCCCCTCTCTCTCTCTTTCCCCACTTCCCTCCCTCTCTCTTTCTCCTTTTCTTCCCCTCTCTCTCCCTCAAGGTGTCTCAGTTAGAATCACAGTTAGCTTCAGCCAGTGAGAAACTGAACACTTCATTAAATGAGACTCATAGAGCTGGCATGAAAGTTGAAGCTGCTGAAAGAAAAGCAAGTGAAACTGAAGAAACACTAAAAAAAGAACAAGTAAAAACCATACAATTAAACATGTCACTATATGTACATGTACATTGTAGGTATTGCTGACTGATACTGTCTCAAGCCTTAAGATGGAGCTAGAAAAGGTATGTGTGTACATACACTAGCAGTCCAAAATACACAGCACATACTATACTGCTACTGCACTTCCTTGAATAAAAATACTTGTACATGTACTAATTTCATGATGGGACATTTCCTTAATTTAGACTCAATTGCTAAGTTGATTAAAAAGCTTTTGTATTCATAAATACGGAAGTTCTAATTGTTTACATGTACATAGAATGCATGTACTACAGTTGTATATTATACTATATAAGCTTAGATGCACACGTGTTGTTTAGGTTGTAGAGTGCACATGTACATGTATGTATGTGTGTATGTAAATGGTGTTTCCCTGTAATAATGACATAATTAAATTGTAGTAAACAGGTTTTATTTATGACCTCATTATATTGACAATTAGATCATCATTACACAATGTAGTAGTATACAGTACATCCCCATATACATGTACATGTACTTACACCGGATTGCGTTACATTATGTGCACATGTACATCACATGTAGGCTAATAATGAAATACAGTATCAGTTGGAGCAGGTGCTATCTTTGAAGGAGCAGCTGGCTGGGAGTGAGACATCAAGAGCATTAGTAGAAAATGAATTACAAAGAGCACAACAAGTGAACATTATACCAGCCTATACTTTAATTCATTTAAATTTTATTACACATATTTATTACACGTATACATTTGTAGCTTATATGGCTGTACATGTATAAGTTTCCTGCAAGATTTTGTGAGTGAATTTTTAACATTGCTCCAAAATCTAGTACAGGTTTTTTAACCTGATTTTTTAAGCAACTTTTGAAATTTTGTATAAAATTCAATTTTGATCCAAACATGCTCAACAGCATAAGTAATATGTATCAGAAAAAAAATTTAATATAAAAATTGCAATTTTTTCCTCGCCATTTTTAGAAAAATTTGACTGAAGTCTTTGTACAGGGTTTTTGACCCAATTTTTGAGCAACTTTAAAAATTTATAAAAAATCCAATTTTGATTGGAATCAGTTACATGTAAAACTTTCTAAACGATACAAATACATATATACGTATCAGGAAAAAAATTAATGAAGATTTTTTTATTATTTATTTTTAATAAATTTTGCCTATATAACTAGTATAGTACAAGGTTTTTTGGCCAAAATTGAGAGGAATAAATTTGTTAAAAAATAATATGCATTTTAATTCTCTCCCTGCCTCCCTCACTGTTCCTCCTCTCTTCCTGTCATAGGACTCTAATGCTAAATCAGAGATGATTAGTGACTTAGAGAACAGACTCCAATCATCAGATAGTACACTCACTGAGGTCAAAGGTCAACGTGAGGAGCTACAGGCTCAGCTAACAGTTCTACAGTCTACTCTCCTCTCACGGGAAGAAGACGTCAAGAAAAGTAAAGAGATGCTTGATGAGTTTCGCGAGGCACTTGAGAAAGCTCAGAAATCAATAAAAGACATGGCAGCTGATAGAGACAGGCAAATGAAGAAAAAGGTACATTTATACATGTACATGTATGAATTAAATATTGCACTAAGAAGCTAAATATTAATTTCTTATGGTTATAAAAATTGAAAAAAATGCAAACTAAAAAAATTAATTTTTAAAAAATGCAGATGTCTTATTACATGTACATGTACCGGTATGTTAAATCGCTTAAATGTGACCAATAAAGTAGACATTAGAATGAATAACATTTTTATAGAATGAATTGGAAGTTAAATTGGTTGAAGCAGAAGGTAAAGCTACTCTATTCCTGTCTGAGATGAGCACTGGAGCTGAATACATCAAACAACTTCAACTGGAGATTGAGCAACTGAACCAAGTAAATACATAAATTACTAATTCATGATAAATCAAGTGATTATTATTATCATTATTTTTCTGTATAGTAGAAAATTTTGGAGGGAATTAAATTTGACGAATTGGCGTTTTGATAGCCATTCGCCAAAAGAAAAATCTGCCATTTTTAGCAATTATACGCATGTTCAATGGCCAATGGCAAAAAATTTGCCAAATTAAAATCCGCCAATCACCCAAAATTTAGCAATTTGCCAAAATTTTAATCCCTCCAAAATTTCCCACTATACGGTATTATTATCACTTACATGTATCTTCCCCATTATGTCATGTGTACATGTACTGGTACTTTCTCTCATTGCAGTAATGGTGTCAGTGTACCTTTACTTCCTGTGATCTACTGCATGGTTTAATGTCACTTTCCTTTTATTGCTACTTCCTTCCTTCCTACATGAACCATAATCTACTGTGCAATGTACATCTTTAGATAAAAATTTTAAAAATTCATGCTTCAAATAGCCTGCCACGGAAATCAATTTAGCATTAGACCATCATACAAATTGACCATTTTTGGTAAAAGCCTAAAATTATACACTCTTGATAAAAGCTACTCTACCATTTCACCGCATAATAAATCAAAAATAATTGTTGTACATGTACATGTACCTCAATGACATCAGTATGATTCCTTCTCCTATGCTCCTCTCTCTTTCTCTCTCTCTCTCTCTCTCTCTCTCTCTCTCTCTCTCTCTCTCTCTCTCTCTCTCTCTCTTTCTCTCTCTCTCTTTCTCTCTCTTTTTCTTTCTCTCTTTCCTCCTCCTCCTCCTCCTCCTCCTCCTCCTCCTCCTCTATAGTCAAGATCATCATTACAGGAGCTAGCAACAAAGCTACGTAGTGAAGTGGTGTCACTTGATAGTCAGTTGGACAATGAGAAGAGCTACCGCTCAAAAGCCGAGCAAGAGAACACAGAACTGAAAGAACTCTGGGAGAATGAGGTCAAAGCTAAACATAAAATAACAGAAAAGGTAAATTAAAGGATTATATATTATATTTATGCATGCATGTATAGTGGAACCTTTATTAAGATACAGTCCATATGGTGGACTCTCTTAAGCACTAACTGGTGTACTGTGTGTAGTATTATCATTATTTTTAGTAGTCTATTGTTATGAAAGACGATTTCTTGTTCTCTGTCATTCACTGCACGTGCTTACCATGTGCATTGAACATGTATGAAAGAGCCACAAGCTAATGTAATTAATGTTACATGTAACCATATGATATCAATTGTAGCAGTACCTGTGTAAGGTCTGTTTGTATTCAAGTGTATGGAGTCTAATTGTTGTTTGATCAACAATGCCTCAGTCAGCAATAGACACTCAATAGAAGCCAGGTCTCCATACAGGATGTACCCCAATCATAATTTGATTTATTTTAGTATTTAATTCTAATTCCTCATAGCTCTCACTGCATTGTGCACACATAAACAGAAATTCAGACTATACAGTCCACATCAACAATAAACAGCACTGTGTGTGTGTGTGTCAGCAGCATAATATAATGTACATATACTTTATGTACAGAAAATCCTTAATATAATTTTTAAGATTTTTTTGCTGCTTATACATGTACATGTACATAAAAGTATTATTCTCTCTCCCTCCTCCTCCTCTCTCTCTCTCTCTCCCTCTAGTTTATGTTGCTTGAGCAAGAATGCAAGGACTCTGGCGATCTTGTTGATACCGTACGTTACATGTAGCTATTAATATTTATTTTATTATTATTTTTGCAATTTTTAAATTGAAGGAGAAGCAGAAGCTGCTAAGAGCCGTAGAACAAAAAGGAATGATTGAAATGAAAATGGAGACACTTCATGAAAGGTAGGATGGAGGAAGAAAAATTATACTTACCTTACCCTGCTATAATCATTAAAAATAGTTCATTCACTATTATTGTAATAAATGTACTTGTAATGCTCAATATAATACACTGGTATTTAAGGAGTGTACTGCTTTATTCTGAGAGGCTTGCAAATGTCACTGGAGTTGTTGTGTCTTTCTTTCACTGTTCCTATTGGCAATGCAAATATTTACATGCTTGCTGCTCCATTATCAAATAACAGATCAGGTTTGTTTGCTGTGACGACGGCCGGCGCTCACTGAAGCAAAGGACATTCCAGTCCAAAGTTTATATCGTGATTCAGCAATTAAACTGTATACTATACAGTTGCTCTATTATCGAATTAAGTATCGTGTTTGTTTCCTGTGACAATGGACGACCGCATTCACTGAGGGAGAAGGAGAGGTTAATCATTCCGTAACAAAGCTACATATGATTGAGCGAAACATTGAAAATGCAGTATATACTACATATGTATTTATTAATGTTTATGTATATACATACATGTACTGAATAGTCTGTGTATCAGTATTTCTTTTGCATTCCTGCTATTACGAGTGTTTGTGTCTTCATGCCATTCTCACTTTGTTCTTCTGTTCTTACCTTGTGTCTCTGTGTCTCTGCATTCAATATGTTAATGTGTTTGTGTTGTTTATTCTTGGTTTTATTTGGTGAGTCTGCAGTTTTCTCATTTGGGATTACTAGGAATGCTTCACAAGAGGATAATGTGACCCACATCAATGATATACTCATCACTGTGTGTGTGTGGGTGTGTTAAAAATATCTCAATTTCTGAAGAAAAATATGGCAATTTTTTTAAAGTAGCAAATTTTTGAAAATACTATGGCCTATAGTATAGAATAATTTTTAAAAACCAGCACAAGTAGACAACAAATTAATTTAAGTTAGAGGATGAAAGAAAATGAGTGAAAAATAAGGACTGTAGTACATGTTTTTTTCCAAAAGATGGCTCTAAAATTACACTTATTACATTTGTAATACACATTGATGTCCTTATGTTACGTAGAAAGTTTGATTCCCATAAAAATTTATCGACTTGTGACCATTTTTAAAATAGGCCAATTTTTGAAAAATACCTAAGACTGTAAGGCCATCGTTTTTTCCAAAAAAATGACTCCGAAATCACTCTCAATTTTTATTACATTTTCTGATGCATATTGATATCCTTATGCTATGTAGAAAATTTGACTGAGTTGAATGTGGCTATTTTTTGAAAATACCATACAAAAAATACCAAAAAGTTTTTTATAGCTTAGCTATAATCAATAACAGGGGCCCATCTGTCAATAAAAATTGACTTATCAAATTCTGCAAGTCTTTTACATGCACACAGTTATGAATACATGTGTAATTGTTACTACTATAAATGCTCATGCTCAGAGATAGACAGACAGCATCTGTGCTGCATGTGTTATGCATGCATCCTCTCTTGCATGTACATAGTGACAGACATCTGGAGCTATTGACATCAGCAATACAAACTGACCTTAAAAGCTGTCCATATTTTCATACTATAAATAGAGTGACATTCATAACTGTCACTGTACATTTACTCATTTAGGGTATGAGGTATGATGCTACGTGTTTTTAAAGTGTCGGTTTTATTGTTTAGTAATAATGGATGGAATTATGCAAGATCAGAGAGAGAGAAGGGGGGAAAGAGAGAGGGAGAGAGGGAAGAATAAAGAGGGGAGAGGGAGGAAGGGAAGTGCTTGTGTAATGATAGTGTGGGTTGGTGTATAGACTCTATAGCTCCATTGACAATTGTGTTGTTTTGTCTATTGATGCAATTGAAATATGATAGGAATCCTATCTGTTCCCTGGACATTTTATCCACCATTTTATTCTACGAATGTACATCTTGTCCATATCAATTTAAAACAATTTCATTGCATACATCCTGTTTGTTCCTCCTCTCCCCCCCTCTCTCTCTATTTCATTATTTTTCCAAATAAAGTTATAAATGAAACAATGACTATCATGTGCTGTACTGGAATATTCATTAATATTATTATTCATATTCTGTTAGTTGCACAATGACATACTGTCTATTGCATTGTTCTATAAAAAGATCCATAGTATTGTCCCTATTTTTCTCCCTCTCTGTACCACTCCCCATTTGCATTTTTTTCATTTTTTTCTCTCTCCCCTCTCTCTTTCTGTACTAGAAATGCTCAACTCCAGAGAGAGAATGGTGAGCTAAAAGGTCAATTGAAAAGCCACAAAAAGAAGCAAAAAGAATTCGATAAATTAGAATCAACAGCACATGCACTCAGACAAGAGCTTGATCACACTCAATCCTCAATGCAAGCTGAAATAACAATGCTACAAAACCAAGTAATATATTATTAGATCACGCATGTACATGTACACACATACATTTTTGCATGTATTGTACATTTTGTTGTTTATATTTTTGATTTTTAATATTAAATAGGTGCGATTGTATCAAGAACAACTGAAGAATGAAACAGAAAGTAGACAATCTATTGAAATGAAGTCGTCTAGTTTACTACTTGGTAATAGTTATTGATATAATAGTGGCCTCGTTATTTAAATGTCCCTCTCTTCTTTACATCATCTTTCTCCCCTAACTGTAATGGCACTTTTTCTGTCTCTCCCTCCTCCTCCCCCTCTCCTTCTTTCTCTCTCTCTTTCTCTCAGAACTGGACTCTGTTCAGAAGTGTCTGTCTAGCGTCCGTCATGATTTACAGGATAAAGATAAAGAGCTGAGAAAGAGTGAGAGACAGATGAGTCAGCTGAAAGAGGAGCTCTCAGAAATGGAGAACACAGTAAACAGGAAAATGATACCAAAGACTGAACTGGAAACCATCACCAGACAAATGGAAGAAAAGGTACATATACATGCATGTACATACTGTACATGTACTGTGCATTACTGTGCATACATTCTGGTCAATATACATGTAATCTTGATATACATGTACATGTACATACATGTATATTACATGTGTGGTGATTGTATTGTTTTGCTATGGTTGAGTACATTTATGTCCTTCTCTCTTGCTTTCTGTAGAGCACTGAAGACTTTAGTAAGAAAATGATTGAATTCAATGACCTACTAGAACAACAAGTACTATATACATGTACATGTACACTGTATAGCTACATGTATATGCATGTACACATGTAATAATAGTGCTGTACATGTACATGTATGTGTGTACATATTGTACTTTTATTATTGATTCTTTAGGCCTTGAATTATCAAAAACAGGATTCAATACGAGTCATGCAAGAGAACGAGAGAAGAGAAAAACAAGACCAAGAGATATCAGAACTAAAGGTTCACCATGCTCCCACCCTAGCCATGTACAATGTACACTATAATACATGTACATGTACAATCACTACAATGTATAATAGTTATACTCTTTCATTCTTTTATGTCCATTAATTCCTTTAGCAAAAACTAAATGGTATGATGTCTCACTATGAAAAGCAGCACTCGGAAATTGAAAGAGCTTTTCTTGAAGCTCAAAGATACAAGGTACAGTACATGGTACACTGATAACTAATACACAAGCACGTGCATACATCAATCACATACATACATTGTGTATACACACGCATACATGCATACCTACATGTACATGCATGTTCCGCATTACAAGCAGACTTGTTATCACTATCATACACTGTGGAATTCTAAAAAGTCCACTGATACATATACAGTGTACATGCATGTATTATAAATCCGGTATTACTGGAATTAAAAGTAGTCCCGTTGCAATTGGTGTGATAATTATGGATTACATTCTCCTAAGGGACTTATAAGGTGGAATAGTTTCATTTTTTACCTTATTTAGTAAATTTTAAATGTTTATGACGTTTGTATATTGTTTATGATTTTGTATATCCTTTCTATAATACAAACAACTTATGTATACCCACTCAATCTAACCCCCCACCCACCACCTTCTCTCTTTCTCTCTCTCTAGAGTCTTTATGAACAAGAAGCAAAGAGAAGAGACAAACTGATAGCAAAGTTAGACAGATCAAGAGAAGTGGCAGCCACTTCAAGACAGCAACTGAGGTACATTATAAACCCCAGTTTACACTGTGCAGACCAGTTTACATCAAAGTGGTTCAGAAACCAACCTACATGTAATTGTGTCCACATGTAACTGTGGTTGAATCAATTTATAATGCTACATTGTATACAAAATACAGCTGTTTCAGTACTCAAACTGGTTTAATTACCTCAAACCACGACCTGAGGTGGTTTAGATAAGTCAGTTTGAAACTGGTTTAATTACCTCAAACCATGACCTGAGGTGGTTTAGATAAGTCAGTTTGAAACCGCATTGAAATCGTCCATACATAAACTAGTTTGAACCGCTTTAAAGGGCATACCTGGCATCAGTATGAGTGACTTAACAATTATGGAAGGGACCATTCCAGTCATGTGACAATTGACCTACTAAATGATGCTAATTTTCAATAATGCATACACACATACAGTACATGTACAACATACATGTCCATTTATGCTGTACAGTACAATAATATTAATGTATTTGTTTGAACTGAAGAGTGCATTCGTGCGTAGCTTTAATTATGCATACAATGAAGCAGGAGAAGGAATGATAGAATCATTATTATGAAATCATTAGGAGAAGGAAAAGTTGATTTTAGTACTAGAGGAATAGAGACACACTTTCATTGTTTACAGGTCTAAACTGATAAACAACATGTTATTGTGTACATGTTCTAATAATGGCTACCTTCACTCTTTTTCTCTTTAGCTTTGAAAAGAAACAGACCAAAAAGCTTAGAAATGCTGGATATAATGTCCTGTCACAGCTTGGTACCACCCCCAAATTACCAACCTCAACACCAATAAGACACACGTCAGAGGTTAGACCCTTAGTGACTGTGTTTCTCTTTATACCCTCCCCCTCTCTCCCCCCCCCCCTCTCTTTCTTTCTCTAGGCTCCTCACAGTCCACCTACTGAGGAATTACTACGATCAATACATTCAGAATTAGACCAATCACTAGCAAGACATTTAGAATCTACGCCAGGTAGTGTTATTATTAATAAAACATTGTGTTCTACGTCTGCTATAGCCAATAGTAATACTAGTATTCACACTCGACATATTCATTATCAATATAATGCCATTTTGTCTCTGTGCAGTTTTGGTGCATGTGACGATCATAGGCTCATAGGTATGAGTAGAGAGGGTTAGGACATGACCTTAGCCAATGATCCTCTATATATTATAATGTTAACATGAACACTCCCTCCTAAGCTTGTTTGAATCAGTCTTTAACATATAACACGGACACAACCAAAAACCACTCATACATTGCGTGTGTATACACAGTACAAATCTAAATAGAATCTAGAATGTTCTGGTAACAAGTGAATACATACTGTTGAATGTGAATAATACAGAAATACATGAAAACTCACAGAAGGTTCTAGAGTGATGAATATAATAACAAGAGCAGTAAAAAATGCAAACAAAGTCAAAGCGTATTCTTACCTACATACATGTATATTCTAGCTACTTCCCCATCATTCTTATCTCTCTCCCATACTGATATTAATAATAATATTTTGAGAAATAATTATACCCTATCTAATGAACCTCAAAACTATGTGTACTTAATAGGTCACAAGATTAAAATTCTATGACTAAAATAATTATTAACACTAACATTTGATCCGTGTCATGTACTTATTACGCGTGCCTTGTTCTGTTTGCATACATTCATCATATTACAGGTATTGCATTTTTTTTGAGGGCGTGCTGGTACAGTATGCGTGTGCGTGCAGTTATGCCATAATGTCTGTCGGATGTATGTATATCTAACATTCTGTGTGGTGGGAGACAAAATGCTTTGGATATTTGAGGTCATATTACTATTGTTCTGGTGTAAGGTTGACCTAATTATGTTTTCATAAAGAGCAGCCCACATACGCCTAACAATGTTATCATTCCATTGATTTCTATACAGTGTGCATGTACAGATTTGATTTGTGTGCTAGTATTTACATAGTGCTCACACGCTCTTTTTCTCTCGTCTTTAGCTTCTTACAATCGACCAAATTTTGATAGTGCACATGGAGCTAAAGCCGAGTCTCACCTTGACTCAATAAGAAGGAACTATCGATTATGAGACTGAGAGAGGATGGATCTTGATGCTCTCTATATGAAAGATAGAAAAAAGATAACACACACATGAAATCTGCTATTATCATTATTATACGCACATACATCTCTTACACTTTATATTTTATTGTTAAAATACATGTATCATTATTTTAGACCATTATTGATAAATATATGTGTAGTGACTTATTTCAAAGAAATATCAATGCTATAAAGATACGATGTGTGCCACTGCCAAGCCAAAGTGAGGAAATTGCATGTTCATAGTGTGAGTTGCCACTTTTTCCAGGCTTCCCTCTTCATTTACTAAAAATAGCTTCAGCCTTCTCTTCTCGATACTAAAAATAACTTCATAAAATGCAACTATTGTTTTCAAATGTAATACATAAAGTACAACACAAAATTCTAAGCAACAACAATAATAATAATAATAGTGACAGCAGGAACAAAACAGTAAAGTTAAGGTGGAACAAACAAAATACAGACACAAACACAATCAACGGAATAAATAAGACACAAAATAATAACGAATAATAATAATAATAATGTGCATTGATAAAGTGTCCATTATAGTACAAGCTTAGAATGAGTTGGTTAGGAGTGAGAAAAAGAAATCTAACGTTTATGGCCAAACTGATTCGTAATGGAAGACGAGAGGAGTAAATGGATAGTAATGGATAATGTTGAGAGAGAGAGAGAGACTTTGCTGAAGATGTTCATAGCATTCACCATTGTTATCTAGACAAGAAGGCTGTGACAAGGGCAGCTCCTACTCCGACTGCTGCTAGTGCTAGCCACGAACCTCCGCCATTTTTAGCATCAACTGTATCTCCTCCAATTTTATCTGAGCTGAATCTGTCTGGTACACTGGCCTGTAGGAGACACAATGGGAAAGATATTACAAGAATCAATGAATAAAAGTATGAGATTCAGAGAGGTCAGCATGATAATCATAATGCATGTGTGTGGCAATTGCTTAGATCTCTCCACTTTCAAATTTTAAACACGAGGCATAAATAAAAGAGAGGTCAATTTCGACTTTTCGAGCACAACAGCTGCAAATGAGTATAGAGTTGTAAGAAGCTCCTTTATAGCAGCTGATGTAATATGAGATAAGTTAAACAAGCCACACAGCTGTTATGTACCCACACCACAGACAACAAAGGAGGAGCAAGGCCTTTACTAAAAGCCTTATCTCTCACCCTTGTATAATGACTAGGCAGTAATAAATAAGGTTAGGCTAATGCACAAATTATCGCCTTCCTAAATTAATATGGACCAAGGCTTATAAAATGCACACCTCTAGTTACTAAGATGTCAACAGGCCATATATAGGACAAGTGTATGATAAGAGGGCATGTGTATAAGAGAGAAGCCGAGGGGACAAACAAGATTTGATGAGACTTAATAGACAAAGCTATGACACAAATGAATGCTATGAGATTATTTGCCCTATAAAGGTAAATACTAATGCACAAGCCAGACACTGTTGGGTCTCCCAATAAGAGAATGTGTACAAACATCGCAAGACAAAATGGCTGGCAATACAAAACCAGTGGAGGAGGAGGGGGCTGATAGAGGAAGGAGAGTGTGTTATAATTACACAACCACAAAGTCACAAAGCATGTATACAATTTCTATGGACTTACCCAGCCTTTCTGTTTCATGATGAATTGACTCAAGTTCTGGCATATGAAGGTTATTAGCCAACCCTCTATGCTCTCTACGACGTGACGTGATGTCTTGTGGGCCTTGTAAGCAACGAGGACAGCAAAAGATATGAGGGCTATAATTCTACCCCAGTTTACGCAATCGGAAAAGATTGAATGCATGGTGCTGTGAAATGTAATGCACAATGTTGTTTCGGATATATCGAGCTTTTCCACGTCTCTCCTAATCTGGTCACTGTGTAGTCTTAGAAATTGTCTACAGGCGCCCATTAGACTGTTATAAACTTTCCTGTTCGTTTCTGAACTGAATATGGGCTCCACATGCCCTGTTGTATATCCATTTAGCTTGACGCCTTGCTCCAATAGGAGGGCGTAAAAGACCTCGTGTATTATTTCCTTCGTCTGGTGGACGAAATCAGTATTGGCTAGAATATTGGAGGCATGGGCTCCTTGGGTCGATGATGGTGTCCATTTGGCGTCTTTCTTCCTACGTTCGGGCACTGGCGAAGTACTTGTCAAATGTCTAGGTTGTAGTGCTACCGCCATTATCTCAAAATAGGAGTTGTAGTATTACTAATAAGAATAAGTGAGTCTTCTGTTTTAACTTCTTTTAGTCTTCTAGAGAATATTCTGTAAGACCGTTCTGTTGGAGGACTTGTGGCTTGGTTGCTGGTTTTAAAAGCAACGCTAATTAATAATTTATACTTATAGGGCGTGGTTATTGTTATGCATATGATTCATTGATTGATGATGTACTATTTTTAGAATATCGAACTGGTCCCTTAAAACAGTATTTTTAGAATGCCTAGATTGCCCCAGAAAAAGATGTCCTAAATTTTAGACCATGCATGCAATAAGTGTGCATGAAAAAATAGGCTCTTGGATCATAATTCACAATTCCTCCTGCAGTAAATGTAGTATACAAAAAGGATCGGGATCCACATCAGTGCACATTATCAGTTTGTGTTTATATGGTATCTAACCTCAAGCCCTGTAATTTGATTGCACACATAAACTTACATCATTTAAAATTGCATAATTTGTGCTGTGCACACGCACAAGAGTACATGGGAGATGCATGGGAGCTTAATTGCCCAGAAATTTCCAGAAGAATCCAATAAAATGCTTGACTAATAATCCAACAATCATTTTCCCAGCTAACTTCCAATTGGTACTTCCTATTATCAACTGGAAGTCTGGAAGTGAGAGGGACAGAATTATAATTCTGGAAAGAGAAACTGATACCCAGCAAAACTCCCAGTTGAAATACAGCTGAAATTGTGCCCACCATGCAACTACCTGCACGGTACATCTAGCTATAGCTGCAAAAATATTCCCTGGTCATAATGAATGCTATTAGAAGTAAATAGGCATTCATAACACTTTATTTTGATGCCATCAGAAATTTTGAAGTATCTACTAGTGATGTCATTGTAATAACATATACTTAAGCGGTTACTATTACACTTAGAATGTACTTAGCTGTTACTAATTGTGATGACTATACTAAAAATAGATTATTGTATTAAAATAGGAAAGCATGTACAGAGACCTGATTCTGGAGGCGTGTGTGGATCGTAAGCAGCTGCTTTAAAGTTTACTCAATCGGTGTCCATACACATACACAGATACTTATTGTAAATAAATTATTAGAAAAATAGAATAATAATAATAATAGAATAAGTATAATTATAGATTGATGTTAACACACATACAGTGTAATGGCCAATCATAGTTTGACACATATACTGTAGCTTTTATTATTATGTAATATCACACACATAATTGACATATTGGAGTGAAGCTCCAAATACAAATACACATATTTATCAATTCATAGCTCTTCCTTTATGTATTAACAATATGTCTTCAGGCCAGGTACATAACATAATACAATAATAGGTGAGACCTAGTTAATGTTATATTGTGTAAGAGTAGAAGCAGTGATTGATAATTGACCACAAAATATATTGTGTAGACATCATGATAACTTAATCTTGTTACTTGTTACTCATCTTAGATACTATTACACAACAACCAAACCATTCAATAGTCTGTAAACAGGTACACCTAGCTTACAATAGGCTCTATGCATCATGCATAACAGTTATATGAGAGGTAAAGATGGAGAGAAAAACAGCAAGAGTATAATAATATCAGTTTTCAGATAATAGCAGAGATATAGGATTCAGGCTTAGGAGCAGTTATAGGAAGAAAAATATGAACATTGTGTCCAAAATTATTGAAAGATAATATTTTGGGAATCGATATCATGCACCATAACATGGTATAATTTATAATGGATGTCCCAAAGTTAGGAAAAAGCTTAGAGGATAACCAAACACAACAACAACAGCAAGAAAGAATAACAATAAAGTAAGACCTTAGACCCAGCACACAAACAATCCACCAAAAACAACAATTAAAGTAATATTAATCATCATCTTCATCAAGGTTCATTGCATCAATAGGAGGAAATGTGAAGAGGTCAAACTGTTTGCATTCAAGTATTAACAAGAGAACAGAAATACCAACAGAGTCATGTGACACATTCATAAACAAGCAAACTAATGACACAATTAAGGTCTGAGTCTTTAAGAGAGAGAGAGAGAGCTCTTGTGGCATTGCTTCATAATATTCTCTACTTTGTAACAGAGCCTGTGTGCTTTAAATTTCTTATATATTAATAGTAATGCATATAACCAGGAGTGCATAACATGTACAGTATACCCTCTAGTGAACACCTCCATTTAACAGACAGCACCTAGTGTACCAATTAGTATAAAATAACCTCCACATAAAGGACATCAAAGTGTCTGTTATATAGAAGCTACACTGTCATCATTAAGATGAAGAATAGCTTGCATTGGCATGTAGAGGTGTGGTATTCCTTAATGAAATAAAACGGCGTCAAAATGCTTACATACAATACAATCACACGTGTGAAGATATGTAAAACAGTAAAAGAATGCTGTAAATGTGTACAAATCTGGATTACCAGACTATAAACTTAAGCTTTGACTACCAGAGTATTAATGCATTTATGTCTGTCGAGACGTTTCATTAGGATATAAGAAGGTGAGTTTATGACAATTAAAATTCTCATCGCGTAATATTTTACCAAATATAAGAGGGCGTAGATTGAGTAACAAGATTAAAGATAGAGGAGGAAAGAGAGGAGAGAGAGAGAGAGGGGGGAAGGAGGAAGAGGAGTCTATTATGTCAAAAAAAAACTAAGTTGAAAAAGGGAATCCAGATTGAAATGAAAAGCAATTACATACAGCATTCCAAGCGAAGGGTATCATGCTATCAGACAGTGATTATACATAGCAGAGATGCCGTCTGACAAGGAATGATACAATCAGGCTATTATTAGACTACAGAGGGTGCAAAGCTTGTTCCTAATGGAATCAAACATAACGGACAAGGAGTTAGGGAAAGATGAGAGGTAAAAAGAGCCACCTTTAGCTGCCATCAATAATAAGAGTCTATACAGTGCAGCATTAGATTATAATTTTCAGTAGGAGCTAACAATTTATGCTTGCTATTAGGAAGAGTAACCCTTACCTACATGTACTCTCTTGCATGCTTTATGGCATTAACTATTATCAGAATATTATACTCTATAGTATACTGTATAGTGTGTGCACAATAAAACAAAATGTGTGTGTTCTATACTAAGTATTGTGTGTGTCTTTGTGTGTGTGTGTGTGGCAGTGTTGAATACTATACAGGTTACAGCCCGAGACTAAATGACAAAGGAAGAAACAAACTACTACATATTATACTCATAATTGTACACCATGTACATACCACTATACACTCATACTACTACAAAAACTGATTTATAATAATAAGAGAATTAATTACTACTAAACTACTCACAGTTCATGGGTTCTGCCTTATTATGTACCTGAGGATAGCCCTCACCCCACACATACACACATTTGTAGTATAAAGATGCTATATTTAGAATAACAAAGGGTGGTGCGTGGAACTGTGCATATAGTGTATGTTATAAATAATATGCACGATGTGTATAAAAGGTAAAAATGATTATAAAATAAGGAAACAAAGTAGTAATTTAGGCAGAGGTCAATCTCCTAATTGTTTGCGTCTACAGCTGTTGAGGGAGGCACAGGGCGATACTAAGGACCCACTCAAATACCAATTGGTATTAAAGAGTGAAGGGATTAATTAAGGACTGAATAATATTCCCTTTGGAAGTGTTGTTGTGTTTCAACCCACACAACCAGACTAGTTAAACTCCCACTCTCTCTCTCTCTCCCTCACTCTCTCTCTCTCCCTCTCTCTCTCTCTCTCTCTCTCTCCCTCCTTTTGGTTTGCTGAAAGCAAAAGAGAGAGAGAGAAAGAGAGATAGGAGGGAGGGAAGGCTGAAAATGGGCCCTGGAGAGAAACAAGGGAGATAGAAAGAGAGGGGGAGAGAAAGGGAGACAGAGAGAGATTAGTTTAAGAATAAGTAAACAGTGATGTTATTTTTGCATGACCATGTGATGTAATTTTTACTGTAATTATATATATTTTCTTTCATTACTATACTCCTCCACAATCACTATCAGCATGACCTTCTATCAGTCACTCCATTATAATGCTCTTCTCTACATTTCTAAAAGTTTGGATTTTATGTACAGTAACTAGAATTACAGTCTGGAAGTATACACTCATGCATACCATTAAATGCAAGTTGCTGCAGGTAATAGTGCTACGTGTTAAATTGGGAGTAAGCTTGGGACGTCTCCAAATTAGTAGACATAATAATTATATATTTAGCCAGGGTTGGGTTCCAAATGTATTTTAATTATAATAATAATGCATGGGATACAAGAATTAGTCATGCATTGATGTCATTATGTACTATGGAAAGTTAGAGTTAATTCCAATGGGAACTTCAATGATTGGCTTCAAAATATTATATCAAATTGAGCTACTTTATGAATGCATGCATGTCCTTATGGTAGGCTTATGGCTTATGCTAATGCTGTAGATAAAATTTATGAATTAGGAACATTTGAAGCAATATTTATATGAGTGAATTTCAAAAATTGATTTGTACAAAGATCAATTTGAAAAATATCATCAAAACTTATATACACTCCATTAAATTAACAGGTTCATGTATCAAAGATCAACAATGATTTAATACACACACACACACGCACACACAAATCTTAACATTATGTACATGTACTCTTCCTAACAGTTAATCCTAATATCTCTTGGTTTATGAATACTTGTTAAACAGTAGTACACAATGCATGTAGCAGTCAGCATCAGTGTCCACTGACATCAAGGGATGACAGTCCTTAGGGTACAGGAACATACTATAGTGTTGCCATGGTTACTGGGCAGAGTGAGGGGCATGTCTTACTTGACGTCTTTTCCTTGTGCATGTAACAGAGTGTAGAGTTCTCTAGCTTGGGATGGAGGGCATCTGTGGTCCTCTGCTCCAACTGCTAGGGTGACAGCTCCTTTAATCTGAAAATAAAATAAAGAGTATTATAATTACATGTATGTACTATAAGCTGCAAGCTTCTTGAATATACTTTGTAGACTTTTAAAATTTGTTTAAAAAACCAATTTTGGTCGGAATCAGCTCAAACTTTCTACACAACATGCAGGGACTTTTGACCCAAGTTCTGAGCAACTTCATTAAAAATCCACTTTTAATTGGAATCAATTCAAAATTTTACACAACAAAAGTACATGCATAAAAATGAAGAATTCTTTCTTTGTCGTTTACCTTATGTGCATGGACAATAGGTGACATCTCAAGCATTTTAGAATATTGATCAGGAGTAGGTGTGACTTTAGGGTCATAGGGTAATCCAGTAACAGAATGAGTCCTAAATATTGAAATAAAAATAATAGAAATAAAAATAAAGAGAGAGAGCTGGACATACATACCAGTCTATAATATCGGTTTCATTTCTCATAGCTAAAAGAATAAAAAATTAAATTAAACTTCTCTCTCATTTTGATTGTTCTCAGCTTACAAGCAATATTGATGACAGGATTACGGACAAAGGTAGCTTTATAAAAGTCCTACAAAAGAACAATTCACTAGGAGCCTACAGCGCTACTGCTGCTGCTTACTGGAAACTGAGAGACTAAATGAACTGAGAGAAAGCCACCATGAGATCCACCAAGAGCAAATACACGACTAGCATCAACACTACCTCTCTTTACCAGTGACTCAGCAGCAAACTAAAGGAGAGTATATGAGAATTGACAACTCTCTCTCTCTCTCTCTCTCTCTCTCTCTCTCTCTCCCCTTCATTATTATAGTATAATAATACATGTAGTATCATAATATACAATTTAATTTCTCTAAGAAATTAGGGATGATGAATATCATGAGAGTTGACAAAAACTGTTCTATCTCTTAATTCTCTCTATCTCCTTTTCTCTTAATTACTATACATGTATATGTAGCTAATTGAAATTACACACACACACACATAGCTTTTAATCCTTTCCCCTCTCTCTCACACTACCTGCACATCATTCACATCAAGTGTTCCTACATTGCCCAACAACGACTTGATAAAATCTTGTCCATAGCCAATAGATCCATTATAATTAACTATTAAAAGTTAAATATTTACATAACCTATCTAACCAACTTTGGCAAAATACATAAAACAATATTATACTTCTTTCCTCTCCCTCCCCCTTTCTCTCTCTCTTTCTTCAATGCATTACCAAACACAATAGAATATCCAAGTCCAACAAGGCAAGTGGTCCATACAAAAAAATCAGCAATGCTAGAAGTGTGTGGTCCACCATGAGGAAGCACTATCAGTGGAGGAAGGGATTCAACAACACGAGGAGATACAAAGAGAGCCTCATACGGATAACCACCTTTAATGGGATTGCATGGTCAAAAGCAGTGATGTGATATATATGTACTTGAGTCTTCTCTCTTTAATGGTAAAACCTCCCATTTAATGTTGTCAGAAATGGATACAGTAGTGGTTGCTGTTGGCAGAGAAAGAATTAAAGTAACTTAATCATTTAACTTGCTGTACTAATAATCATTTGGGCAGTGAACTGACCAATTTCACAAAAATCAATATCTTTAAAGCCATCACTGCTGGAAGGTAGCTCAGCTATGAACTAATCAAAAAGCAAATATAAATAATTCAAAAAGTGATAGAGAGGGGAAAAGTGACAAATTAAAAGAAATAACACAACACTATCTCTTTACTATTTTCATTGGTTGGGCTGGGTTAGCATATCGTCCTAGCAACAGACCATCAAATACATCAAAGACAGCATAAGCTCCTTTCTCAGTATCAGACGTGATACATGATATTGATTTCGTGTTAACATCTAGACGCATGATCTCTCTGTATGATTTCTGACAATCATGAAAATACATCTTGTCATTATCCCCCCAGCAACGATCAGGGAGACTGTATGCATATACACCAGTGAATCCTTCATCTGTAGAAAAAATAATAACAACAATAATGATAATAATAATAGTATGATAGTATAATATAATTGTACAGATCATTCCCTACAGCAGGTTATAATAATTGATTGCTCATGCAGTGTGTGAATTGACAAATATTAACACTTTGAGGTACATGTACGTCACCAGGTACATGTCATATCCATGTGATGTAAAGCCATTAGGAAATTTTAATGGCAATAACAGAGTGAAAGAATACGTATAACAATAGGAGCCAATAGTATAACATAGAAACCACTTGTTGAAAAAACAGCAACCACTAGACTACACAATATGAGACTGCCAACTACGTGTGCTTTTATCACCCTCCTCCTAGTCACTCTCTCTCTCTCTCTCCCTCCCTCTCTTCCCTCTTCCTCCTTACTGGTTGACTTATCAACTAAATCAACAAGTGTCTCAATCTTCTTTGTCTTCCAGTCAACCTAATCATAACAAGAGACCCAACAATTAAAAATTATCATGAAAATAAAATAACTCACCATTCGTACTCGAGCACAAGACATGTGAGGATAAGGAAGGTCGGCATCATTCTCAATAAATAATAAATAAAGAGGTTCTCCATTGAACCTCAAGCCAAATATATATTTTGTACCATCAGTTAATGGAGCTATAAAAATTACACAGATGTCACATGACAATGGCAGAGCGTATTAATAATATGAGAGTACAGCAATGCCTCATGACAGAGCCAAAGGGTTACATTATAAAACTAATACATCACATGACAATTAATGGATGTCATGTGACAGTAGAGGTGGGTCACATCATTAATAATTATAATCTTACTTGACACATTAGTATCAACATTGGCACAAAAGAGAGTTGACCTAAAAATTATAAAAATATATCTGCTTGCTGTAGCCTCCCTCCTCTCACTTTCTATTGAAGCAGTAGACAAAACCAAGTTTAAGTGGCTCGTTATCATAGCCAACATAAACCAGCTCTTTAGTGGAGTCAGGTACCCATCTAGCCCGCCCACACGAGTAATTAGAAGGAGAATCAATAACAGTGCATTCCTCAGTCTTAATATCCAATACAACAATGATAGGATTAATGACTGTCGTCAACTGCTCTCCCCAGCTCTGGCGGTATACATATTCGGTGCCCTGTGGATAGAATATTTATCATTGATCAAATTAATATCATTAAAAGATTTTGTGGATTTTCATTACCATTTCTTTAGGTTCAGATCCTTTGTCTTCATCTCCTATACAGTGTATGTCAGAAAGAAAAAAATTATTTCAAATGCAACCACAAGTCAGCAATATTTGGTAGTTTTATTATAACTGCCAATACATACATTTGTAAATGTAAAAACAAATTACTAATATTAAAAATTCATTTCTTTTGGCTCATCTATAACATACCATTGTTCTTCTTCTTGAAGTAAGGAATGCTGTCTGGGACCTTCTTCTCAGCGACATAGAGCAGTTTTGAGCCATCAAAGGACAACTGGAAGCTTGAGAATTGATCTAAAATTAAAACATGACACAACAGTAAATATTTTAATAAAATAGCTTGCCATCATCATTAATTTTGCCATGTTTCTTTCCAAACTGCTCCTTGACATTAAAACTTTTTATCAAATTACTTGAGTCCCAGATCTAAAGTAATCAACAACAATGATAATAACAACAACAATGATAATAACAACAACAATGATAATAGCTAAATAATTTGTAATTTCCAAAACAATTTAATAATTGCTTACTTCTATAAACTGCTGTGGTAATAATGTGGTAAATAATGTGTACCGTAAATGTTCAAATAAAGGCTGGGCTTGAATAAACGCCTGGTACTAAGAATCTCCAAGTATACATACACATATTTTACTCAATATAAGTACAACAATCCTTAGAGTGTCCCAAATGGCCTAACTTAATAAGCTAAGGGCATTAAATCCGGAGTTCCGGGTTCGTTTTTATTCTACGCATTTTTTTTGTCCTGGAAAGAAATAAATTCCCGGGCTTTTATTTGAACATTTACGGTACTTTCTAAAAATTGCTTACTTCTATAAACTGCTGTGGTTCAGCTCCAGACTCCATCTTTGACGACTTTCCTTTCATGAGTACAGCTCTGAACTTCCCGCAAGTGGAATAACATTCCAGCGAACTAAAAAATTCAAATTATAAAATAAATTTATGATAATTTATGTAATAAAAGGTGTGGCTCAATCATTGAATATATACAAATAATTAATCATAATAATACCGTATAGGGATTATATTTCACTGGTAATAAATTTCGCGAATTTCGCATTTTTATTAAATTTGCGAAATTAAATTCCACAAAAGAGGTGTGACACACTAGGAAAGATGGCTGCAGAAGGTAAGATTCGCGAAAATTTATACCAACAAATGACAAATCTGAACAAATTCGCGAAATTTTATACCAACAAAATAAAACCCCTATACGGTAAGTTCTAAGGTGTCATAAATATTCTTACACTGATGCAGCATCACGTTGGAAGCTGTTGCTACTGAGTACAGAGAGTTTCTTCGAGCCAGGGTCTCTGCCGACCAGGTAGGACTTGGCAAAAGTAACTTTATTTCCTCTTTCAAGATCTTTTTGACTCCATTTTACTTCAACCTCGTACAGCCCGTTCCCTGAGCGGAATATACGACCTTCAGTAGCAACTGGTATCTGTGCAATCTCTCTGTATAGCTGACTGGCTTTCTCTTGGACAGCAGCCATCACGAATCCACATGCGACAATAAACTGGTCATTAGAGGCGTGGCAATCTAATCAGATCACACCCATTTCTTTTGTGTTTTCAAGATGGAGGGACACTTAGAGCATCAAGTGACTGAGATGTAAGCGTTACGCGTTCACTCTGCCTCTTTTTATCCGTTCTATTCTTCTCTTACACTAGTTCACAAACCCCGGGAGTGGTTGGGGTAATATGTACTGATCCTCAAGGCCTATCATTGGCAGGTAGGGCCATTATTACACACGATGTGTCTAAATTAAGAATATAAACTTTTAATAATGTACTGCTGGGGTGCCAAAGCCAGGTTTACACTCGACACAAAACGCAACAAATGAACACAAAATTGAAATTTGACCAATTTTCATAGGTGTAGGAATGATTCGAAACTTACTGGGCTCAACATTAAAAAGCATGACTTAGCATGTGAACATTGGGGGGCTAAGCCCCTCTTGCTGAAAAGTTGGGGGGGGGCTGCAGCCCCCCAGCCCCCCCCCATTCCTACACCTATGATTTTCCATCAACTTCAAAGCGTTTTTGCGTCAAAAGGGCAAATCGCCCATGCACTTTTGACCGTTTCGTCGAATGTTAACCTAGCTTTAATGTCCAGTTGCTGATAACGTAGTGCATGTATATTCATTCACATCCTCTTTATTCTATTGTAGCTCGAGGGACTCTAAAGCCAGAGTCTTCAGGGCTGGTTTCTGGTTTAGCCACTCAAGCAGCTTCTCTTAATCTTGGGAATGGTGAAGATGACAAACCTACCATTGTTGTTGAATTTGATACTGGGTTAGAACTGATATTAACAATAATTTCAAGGATTTCGCCTTCTCTCTTTTTATTATTAATTTTTTGTAGGAATATTTTAATTAGAGGACAGCAGAACTCAACTCTTGGTATTCACAAAGTCTAACTAACAATGTATAATTATTATATATAATTGTGCTGTATTTTAAATGAAATTAATAATGTCTTTTTGCTTGAGTGTTAAAAATGTTTAACCACATGAATGCATGTGGTTTTGCCTTGGCTTGCTACTAGTCTGGCTGGCTGGTGCAATGTGGGTGCAATCAGCAGATTTCTGCTGTAAGAACAAGATATGCATAATGCACTCATGTAGTCTAATCCTGTTTTTAATTCTGTTCTGTGTATTATTGTATCTATGATAATAATATTAATTTTTTAATACCGTATTTTAAAAATTGAATAATAAACTTTAATCTAGACTTTAATAAGAATTTTAGAATAATAATACTCGATTTTTAGGTAAATTAGAGTCTGGTTAGACCTATTTAAACTGGATAAACTTGTTTGTTATATCTTCTCAGAGGGACACGCCTATGATAGGCGGGGTGCAGTGATGATAATTTTATAAGATGAACAAAAGGATAAGTGCCAAGAATGATGGTGCATCCATATATCTAATAGCGTGTATCCAATGGCAGAGGAAGCTGACTATATAATACTTGTAAGTTTTGGCACTGTTCACCCCCCATATTATGTGACCAAAATAATATTATATTTTAGTTTCATTTTAGTTTATACTATTTAATTGTAATTTTAGTATTAGTTTTGAAAACATCAGTAATTATATAACTAGTTATAGTTTTGCTTTAGTTTTTTTACTCTATTTGATTTTTAGTTTAGTATACAATGTAGTTTTAGTTTGAATCTCCAATAAATTTTAGTATTTAGTTTTAGTTTCAGTCATGGTAAACCAAAACAACACTAAATTATTGCACTAATCAAGCAAAAGTCAATTTTACCAGAGCAGGCATGGGCTATTATGCACACAAAATTCAATTGTGTGCTTTTTGCAATGAACAGCAGTCAATTACAGCAAGTATTAGCCCTTTTATTAATTTACACAGGGGAAACTCAAGTTTAAGGGGAGAAATCTGAGGTTCCTCCTGAACAAATCCCTATTTTTGTAGGTGTGTCTCCTCCTCCTCCTGTCGTATGGCGGAGTGCTCTGGATCCTATGGATGTGTGGAGTTGGAATGATCCTCTCATCCCTCTTTTTCTGGGTGGGTAGAGTGATCCTTTCTGGGAGCAAAGTGATCCTGTTGGTATGCAAAGTGGTTCTCCCCTTTTCCCTGCTCGTGGGTGGAATGCTCCTCTCCCTCCGGCTCATTAATATGGTGGGTGAAGTGGTCATCTCCCTCATCCTCTTGTGGGTCGTTGGAATGGTCCTTGACTTCCTCCACATGTTGGTAGGCAGAGAAGTCCTCCTCCTTTTGGTAAGTGGAGTGGTCCTCTCGTTCATCCTGTTATATGCTAGTGGGCGGAGTGGTTCTCCTCCTACTTCTGTTAGTAGTGGTCCTCCCCAGCTTCCTTGTTTTGTTAGTGGACGAAATGGTTATCCTCCTCCGGCTCCTTTTGTTAGTGGGTGGAGTGGTCCTCCCCAGCCTCCTCCTGTTAGTGGGCAAAGTGGTTCTCCTTCTGTTAGTGGGCGGAGTGGTTCTCCTCCTCTGGCTTCTGTTAGTAGGAGGATTGGTCCTCCCCAGCCTTCTAGTTCTGTTAGTGGGCGGAGTGGTTCTCCTCCTACTTTTAGTCGGCGTAAAGATCCTCCCCAGTCTCCTCTTTCTGTTAGTAGGCGGAGTGGTTCTAGTAAGCGGAGTAGTTCTAGTAGGAGGAGTGGTCCTCCTCCCCAGTATTCTCCTGTTAGTGGGCGAAGTGGTTCTCCTCCTCTTTTTGTTAGTGGGAGGAGTGGTTCTCCACCTTTTGTTAGTAGGCGCAGTGGTCCTCCTTGGTCTCCTCTGGATCCTTCTGTTTGTGTGCAGAGTAGTTCTCCCTTTCTTCCTCTTTCTGATGGTGTGCATAATAATCTTCTCCCTGATCAGTGGAGTGGTCCTCCGCCTTCTCCATCAGCTCTTCCAATAATTTATAATGCACATGGGAATCTCCTCTCTAGTACTGGAGCTGGTATAATATTAACATCTGTGAGTTGTGAATGATTGAATGAATGATCTCCTGTTGCTAACGCTTACTATCTCATTTCTTTTTCCTTATTTAAGGTTCCTCAAAGTCAAATTGTGTCAAAATTGATGAATCTTCATTGTCAGTTCATACCATTATTGCAAGATCCTCAAGTATTTCAAAATATAGAGCAACAGTATGGTGTGAAGTTCAATGTAACGCTTCCTAATGGCTCAACCAAACCTATTGTTGCTCTCTCCAGTACTATAGCTAGTGCAATGTCTGGTTCTTATCCATTGACTATTGAGAGTATTTCTGATTATTTATCAAACTCTGATGCTGGTGGTATTTCTTGGAACTTTTTTGATGATCATCAGTTCCAACCTATGAGTCCTACTGATTCTGCTGAAATTGAAAAACTCTATCAGCAGTTTCTTCATCGACCATCACGAAGTCAAGCCAGGCGTAAATTGCCATATTCTAGAAAAATCGGAGAATGGAACTACAGTTATGATTTTGATGGTATGGTTCAGACAAACACTGAAACACAGAAAAAGCGTGAAATCAAGCGTATAGATCTACCAGCTCTAGATTTGTTTTTCCTCTGCCTATCCTGTCAGGGTTTAAAAGGTGGTGTCCAAGCTTCTATAGCTAGTTTACATGAGACATTAAAAGGGATGATAATCAAGAAAACATTTGGAGGCTGCAGTACTGATATTATGGAGCCTATCATTGAATTAGCGAGATCGTTTTGTGTAAAAGTAGATTCATCACTTAATAGCATTTTGATATCTGGTGGCAGTGATTATTTGACTAAAGTATTTCTTGTTTTAAGACAGAAAAAAATGAGTCTTGAATCTACTCCACTTTCATCTTTTCCTCCAGAGTGGGAGCCACAGACTAAGAACATTATACTGAAATTCGTTCCAGTAAGTTCTTTTGAGGGGGCAAAGGTAGTGAGTGCTTTCAAGAAAACAATGAATGCAAATGTTTCTAAAATTGAGAGGATCCAGAACAAGTTTTTATACACCAAATATGGCCTGTGCAAGAAAAGGATGCATGAGAAGAATAATGGACGAGTAAATGAGAAATGGTTATTTCATGGAAGCAGTAGAGTTCCTCCAGAAACTATATACAAATCAGAGCATGGCTTTGATTTTCGTCATGGTGCCCAAGGCATGTGGGGGAGAGGAGCATATTTTGCAGTTAATGCCCAGTACTCTGGGGGTTCTTATGCTTTTAATTCTCCACAAGGTCAACAGATTTTTTTAGCCTTTGTTTTAACTGGTGACAGTATAGCAATGCAGAGTAATAGGTCATTAGTCACTCCACCCAGTAAAGAGGATGGCAGTGGAGATTATGACAGTGTAAATGGCGAGACTGGTTCATCTCAGATTTATATTGTATATGATCACGACAAATGTTATCCAGCTTATCTTATTACATTTTAACAGTAGTCTATCAACTGTAAACTTTTATATTTTTGTATAATTTACGATTGAAATTATTATCTTAATTAAAATGAAGTGCAATAATAAAGCTTCCTTTATAATTATTATGAGCTGACAGGAATTGTGTATAATAAATTATTAATTGGGGAAACCCGAGTGGATTGGAATAAAGCTAGCTTACCAGGCTCTTGGAGCCAATGATGTGGAGTTTTGTGAAAGCTAGGATTTGTTTGGGAAGGAACTGTGATAATATAATGTACTTTGATCAGTCTGTGATTATGGGAGGAATAAAACCAAAAGTAATAATATTTTATAATAATGATAATAATAACTTTCCAGTGACAAAAATAAGAAATTAAAAATTTGAGGAGGATCATTATTAGTTTTTAAAAATATACACACTCAAGTTCATGTATATATATATATATATCAATAATGAAATCTTAAAATTATGTACTCTTCCTAACAGATAATCCTAACATCTCTTGGTTTATGAATACTTGTTAAACAGTAGTACACAATGCATGAAGCAGTCAGCATCAGTGTCCACTGACATCAAGGGATGATAGTCCGGGTATAGGAACATGCTATAGTGTTGCCATTGTTACTGGGCATAGTGAGGGGCATGTCTTACTTGACGTCTTTTCCTTGTGCATGTAACAGAGTGTAGAGTTCTCTAGCTTGGGATGGATGGCATCTGTGGTCCTCTGCTCCAACTGCTAGGGTGACAGCTCCTTTAATCTGAAAATTTAATAAAGTATTATAATTCTTTTGTATGTGCATAATTTAGCATCTTAAAAATACATAAAAATCCAATTTTGATCAGAATTAGCTGAAACTTTCTACACAACATAAGTACATGTATATGTATCAGGAAAAATATTAAAATGAAGAATTCTTTCCTTTTCAATTTTGTTGAAATTTGGCCTGAGATCATGCATGTACTACAAATACAGTAGAGGGGCTTTAACTATATTTTTGAGCAAGTTTTAAAATTTGTAAAAATCCAATCTCAATAAGAACCAGCTCAAACTTTTACACATACAACATAAGTACTGTTCATACATGAATATGTATCAGTTTTTAAAAATATAAAAATGGAGGCTTCTTTCCTTGCTGTTTACCTTATGTGCATGGACAATAGGTGAAATTTCAAGCATTTTAGAATATTGATCAGGAGTAGGTGTGACTTTAGGGTCATAGGATAATCCAGTAACAGAATGAGTCCTAAATATTGAAATTAAAATAATAAAAATTAAGGGAGAAATTAAGTTATACCAGTTTATAATATCGGTTTCATTTCTCATAGCTAAAAAATAAAAAAGATTAAATTAAATTTCTCTCTCATTTTGATTGTTCTCAGCTTACAAGCAATATTGATGACAGGATTACGGACAAAGGTAGCTTTATAAAAGTCCTACAAAAGAACAATTCACTAGGAGCCTACAGCGCTACTGCTGCTGCTTACTGGAAACTGAGAGACTAAATGAACTGAAAGAGAGCCACCATGAGATCCACCATGAGCAAATACACGACTAGCATCAACACTACCTCTCTTTACCAGTGACTCAGCAGCAAACTAAAGGAGAATATATATGATACAAACAAACTTTCTCTGTCCCTCTCATTGTTATATAATAATAGTACCATAAATATCATAGTATCATATGTGTATTATATATCATACTAAACAGGTCTATATACAAAAATATAGACCTGAGGTGGGTGTCCAAGGATGTGATATAGCCCGAGGGCTATATCACATCCGAGGACACCCACCAAAGTATATAGACCAGTTCTAGTATGTTATATAAGACATATTTCCTGATGATGACAGCATTTCTAAATGACAGGTATATACCAGTATACAAAATATATACCTGACCACATCAAAGGATGATGTCATAATTATGGGATATAATTATGATAGTATCATAGTATCATAGCATAATGATAGTATCATACTTACTATAAGAGAATAGGGATGATGAACATTATGAAAAATGACAACAAACTTTATTTCTATTCTCTCTTTCCTTTTTCTCTTACTACACATGCAGCTTGAAATTGACACTTATAATTATTATAGCCCTCAATTAATCCTTTCCCCCTCTCTCTCTCTCTCTCACACACACACAGGTACCTGCACATCATTCACATCAAGTGTCCCCACATTACCCAACAATGATTTCATGAAATCCTGTCCATAGCCAGTAGATCCATTATAATTAACTATTGGCAAGTAAAATAATTATCTACCCTTTTTGGCAAAAGTGCATAAAATATTACTAGTCTTCATTCCCCTCTCTTCATCTCTCTTTCTTTGATGCATTACCAAACACAACAGAATATCCAAGTCCAATAAAGCAGGCAGTCCATACAGTAAAATCAGCAACACTAGACATGTGTGGTCCACCATGAGAACTCACTATCAGTGGAGGAAGAGATTCAACAACACGAGGAGATACAAAGAGAGCCTCATACGGATAACCACCTTTTATGGGATTGGGCAAAGGTAATCAAGTGATATAATACTGTAAACCCATTAATAATTACTATCCATTAATTTTAACCATTATTGGCCCAATTTCGTTAAAGTTTATGAATGTAAATATAATTGTCAATGTGCAATTAGTTACCTTATACTACGTTTACACTACGGAACTGGGCCAAACCGTGCTGAATCAGGCTGAGCTGGCCCTGCTGTACTAACCATGCTGTCTGGTTTGGCCCAGCTCACTTCAGCTCAGTTTGGTTACTGTTTACACTATCAAATGAAACTGTGCTAGCCCACTTTAAACAGGGCTGACTCAGTTAAAGAAGCTAGTGTAAACATAGTATTAGTTGTAAAACTCATTAAAATATACTTACCATTGTAAAAAATGTTAAACATTAAGGTTTTTGAATTATTTGGGTTTACAGTATATGTACCTGAGTCTTCTCTTGTAAGTGATAAAACCTCCCATTTAATGTTGTCAGAAATGGATACAGTAGTGGTTGCTGTTGGCAGAGGAAGAATAAAAGACTATGTTGCATGATTTATATATTTAATTTGTAACAAGTAATCATTTCAACTGACCTATTTCACAAAAATCAGTATCTTTAAAGCCATCATTGCTGGAAGGTAGCTCAGCTATGAACTAATCAAAGAACAAAAAATAAATAATTTTAAAAAAGATAGAAAAAATAAAAGAAATAATTCTCTTTTACTATTTTCCTTGGTTGGGCTGGGTTAGCATATTGTCCTAGCAACAGACCATCAAATACATCAAAGACAGCATAAGCTCCTTTCTCAGTATCAGACGTGATACATGATATTGATTTTGTGTTAACATCTAGACGCATGATCTCTTTGTATAGTTTCTGACAATCATGAAAATACATCTTGTCATTATCCCCCCAGCAACGATCAGGGAGACTGCATGTATATACTCCAGTGAAGCCTTCATCTGTAACAAAAATAATTGTACATATACATCTAATTGATTATAATACAGGTTAAGGTACGTGTAATTGTTACAATAGAGGTAATTGATGCTAATGCAAATTATGTAATGTGTCAATTGACAAATATTAACACTTTTGGGTACATGTGCATCATGTCCATAAACTATTAAAGAAATTTTTATAGCAATAACAGAGTGAAAGAATATAGGAGCCAATAGTGTAACATAGATGAACCACTCATTAGAACAGCAACCACACTATAGAGACTGTCTAATACATTTATCATCATCCTCCTGGCCCTCTCTCTCCCTCCCTCTTCTCCTTACTGGTTGGCTTATCAACTAGACCAACAAGTGTCTCAATCTTCTTTGTCTTCCAGTCAACCTAATCAAAACAGGAGACCCAACAATTAAAATTTATCATGAAAATAACAATTCATACTCGAACTAAAGACCTGTGAGGAAGGTCAGCATCACTCTCAATGAATAATAAATAAAGAGGTTTTCCATTG